GCAATCCACACAGTCTGAACATCCACGGAAAATGGTCAAATTTTTCACACATTGCACGCAAGTCGCTTGGTATGCACTTGGCAGAAAAAGTTCCAAAAATTACAAACTTGTAATTGAATCAAACAAAGGTTGTAGGCTTTTGGGGCACCCGCTAAGGCTCACCTGCCACACACTTGCCCTTTCCTATCCGCTCCCCCGCACACAACCGCTGCGAGACCCAGCACGCACCGCCGCGTGCGCCCGTGGGTGGCGGGCGGCGGCTGGCGTCGCCACTCTGCCGACTCAGCCGGGTCGCGCCGACCGGGCCAGCTCGCTGTCGCAGCAGCCCTTTAGACAAAGGGGCCGCCGGCCCGGCCAGCCGTGGAGAGCTAATGACGGGCGGCGGCGGCGGCGGCGGCGGCGACGGCCCGGGGCGGCTCGAGCTGCAGACGGTGACGCGTCGGCGGCGGCCGCGCTCAACCACACACAGACCGCGGCCTGGTGCAGCGGCCGCTGCAGACGCAGTCCGCTCTAGACGAGGCCTATTGTAGATACGGCCCACTGTAGACATGGTGCACTCTGGACGCTACCCGCTATAGACACAGCCCCCTACAAATACGGCACGTTTTAGGCACTACCCGCCCCCTAGAAGCGCGCCACTGCAGAAAATAGTCTACTGTAGACGCTACACACTGCAGACACGGTCCTCTGCAGATGCGGACACTGCAGACAGGATCACTGTAGATGCGGCACACTGTAGACACTGTCCGTCGCAGGCACAGCTTGCTGCAGTCACGGCCCACAGCGGGCAAGGCCCACTTTAAGCAAGGCCCACTTCAGGCACGACCCACTGCAGACACGGCCTGACGTAGATTGCAGGCACATTCCAGTAAAGACATGACTCAGTGCGGGCACGACCTACGGCAAGTGCAGAACACTCTGAATACGGCGCACTGTAGCGGCTTAGGCACGGCACACCTAGGGAAACACCGTGAGCACATTCCTTGTATCCACGCCCGGCTGTTAACAAAGCCGAGTCCAGACATCATATAATTTTCAGATTAAGAACTATATCTCAAGGAGAAAATTGGCGTCGGATAGATCTTCGTACTTTTTTATATATTTTTTTATTATCCGCGTGCGGACGGGGTTTGTGGTGTCAAGCTTTGTCACAATGGTGTGCGCATGCTTTTCACGAGTCAAACAAGGCATTGTGCCACGGGAAATGTCAGTTGATAGGCCTTGCGGAATTACATCAGATATATCCTGATGCATTTATGATGTGCCGGATGATGTCCCCATAGCCAAACACGCCTTGCAGTTTATGTGTCCAAAACATGTACAGAAGTGCTATTGTCACTATGACGGCACCTAATCATCTACGATATTTTAAAAACACATATGCATCATTTTGCACCCAGGACAAAGTTGCTTTTGGCCAGCGGCGTTGACGTAACGTCATGTCTCTTCACAAAATGAATCACCCAGCGACCTGGAGAAAGCGCTAGCCCTCACCAAGACTTTTATAAAGTACAAGCGAGAAAGTGCGCCACCCAAAACATCGAGTCCGTTCGTCACCGCAGTGGACACACGGAAACACAGGATGGTGTGTGCTCAGAGAGCAGTCGTGTCATGGTCCGAGCAGTGTGTCAGCCCAGTGCAGCCAGCAGCTATCGTCACGCGGGCGTTGTCAGCTGCATTCCACAAGCGTTCACCTCTCCTCAGCTTACCCGGCGTGAGCAAAAGGGTCACAGGCCAGGTTTGGCCTTCATCGTTTTGATTATCGTTGCTTTTCGTCTCGCACAGGTAGCAGCGTCATTCAGATTCATAGACACGCTATTGATGGAAAAACAGAAGTAGATACAGCGTGAATGCGAAGGGGGGGCAAGAAAGAGATGATGAAAGAAAGGGGAGTATCAAATTATGCCCCCTTCAGTGCTCATTACCATTCCCTTTACTCCCCCTCCCTCCCCGCTCATCAGAAGTTTTGCTATGCCACCAGACGAAGGCGTCACCAAAATAGAGGTTTTCGAGTGTAAAACGATTTTCTGAGGACTATGCTGGTGCTCTAGGGACGCAGCCGATACTTTGGGTCAAATGATAAAAGTGACCGGGTAGCCGCTGCTCTAGGATCACACTCGTCTCAGTGGGTACGGACCTCTTGCCCCATTTCCCGTATTCAGTGATGTCGTCCATAGTACTTATTGGTATCTCTTTCATGTATTTTACGTCAGGTTTTAAACACAAAGCGCTTGCTCGTGCAAAAGCACGAGCAAGCGCTGATTTGAAGTATGAGCAAGTATGAGCAAGATTTGAAATTTTGACTGCGTAACAAACTTTGTTTTCTAAAATTAAAATAATGAAGCCAGTTATACAACGTATGGATAACCTATGCTCATCAATTCGACATCACTAAACCTAGTAGAAGACTTCAAGGTTTGGGTAGGCCCATGAATACCTACATGAAGTGGGTAAGGAGCTGGATTGGGTGCAGAGTTCGGGAAATTACAGGTCTGGGTGTACGGATATCGATAACAAATTTACAAAATTTCGGGTAGATTCTTCGGGACTACTACACATTGTCACTGCCTGTGCTTCTTTATTTATGCTCAGCTCACTTACGCTACTTTTGCAATTGTCAACACAAAGCGTTTACTTTGGGTGCCGACTCTGCTGACACCGTGTTCCATTCTTTAAAACATAGGTGCTGGAAACATGCAAAAGAGTGGGTAACTAGTGGGTGTAACCCAGCGGTGATATGATTTCATAATAGGTATAAGGGTGTAGCTTTAAAAATGCTCTTAAAACTTTTAGCACGCCGTAGGCGCGCGTAATTTGTTGCGTGCCGTAAAAAAGTTCAACGTTCTCGATCGTTTTACTTTTACACATCCATCTGTGATTTTGAATTGTCATTACCTAGTCACATACTTCCTACGTACTCCGCTGAACGCAACTAATTAGGAATGGATGGCAGGTAGTTTATGGTACAGCTCCATGGGTAGCGGGTGACTTAAGTAAAATATTTTACCCGCGGGGACCTGTAGCAAGGTAACTCCTCCCAACACAAAGAATGTAGGTATTTTCACAACTCCTGCGAAAAGCTCCGAAGAAAAAGCTGAATAACTCCCCTCCCTGGACTAGCCATCATTACCATTATTAGCTCTGAAAAGGCGCTAAATGTGCCTGGGACAAACTAGCGCATGTCAGCGCACACCAGTACGACTGCCCGTTATGCAAGGGCATAAACTCAACTCGTACGCACGGTTCATGTGTGGGGGAAATAATCCAAGTAGCATCTGAGAATATCCCCAGATACATCGTCACAAGGAATCAGAAGTGCACTTACATGTGTCCTAAGCCTTTCGTGTTACACATTACACATGGTCATTTCCCCGCTTCTTGCATTCGCAATGTCAAGGCCGTTCCGGAAGGCTCGAACGGCTTCTTTTGTGATCCGATAGTGGCGCCACCTATACGGGTTCACGCTTGTCGCACGTGAGCTCTTCCTAAACCATCGCAAAAATGAAGTGAACTTCGAAAAGATTGCTGCCAATGTAAGATAACATCGCAGTGAAAGTCGGCTTCCCGACTTGCAGCCGCGCCAGGTGTAGGCACGATCCGCAGCAAAAAAAAAAAAAACGTTCATTTTCATGTCCACCTTGTGCAATCTGTTCAAATCCAGACTACGGGGTTTTCAGTGTCTGAATTCTAGAACACGGCCAAGAATGAAACAAATTTCGGTGAAAAGTTTAGTGCGCTCAAGTTGAGCTTTCAAAGCCTCTGCAATCGTTCACTGCCAGTTGTGGTGGTTGATTTAGTGAATTCATCGTTGTGAGCGAAAGGGATGCTTGGGAGCAAACAGACCATTATGAGACATGTTTAGAACTTGGGGCATAATTCTGGTAGTGCACGTCGCCAAACAATGCACCTGCAAGATGAATGCATGCAGGGTTAGAATACTTCCTCGGGTACCTATGTAGTCGAGCGAAAGATCCATAACCGACTCATTTAAAATATGGCCAGTATTGGTGACCAGCTGCAAATTGGCAACACATCAAGGGTGCGAGAAAGCCGTTATACTACAGATTGAGCGCAGGCCGGGCAAGCTAAATAGGTGTGAACAAATTTCAAGGCCGTGTAGTATGTCAATTCTAGACCCCACCTCTCTCAAAATGTTTTTTAGGTAAATTCGTGCCTCAGGGACATCTTGAATTATTGTTTTTACTTTTCAATGTCGTTTTCAACCAGTCTGGTCAGGAAACGTATGGTGAAAGAAAATTGAATGACAGCTTTTGGTAAATCTGGAGCAATGGCAATACGAAAGCATATGCTAGGAAAGGCTCATCACTCCAGCAATTACTTGCTGGCTTAGCTTATGATGGAGTTGGCATGGCAAAGAAAGATACGCCCTTTTCACCCTAGCAGCATTAAACCTCGTTAAACCCCTTTTGGTACCAGGCTCAAATACACAAAAATCAAACTAACCTGAAACAAAGCCCATCGTTTGCCGTCAGATTTATCAAAATTGCCTGTAAATGGGAATCCAGAACCAGAGCTCCAGAACTCCAGAAGAGCAGACTGAGCTTCGGTCTCGTACGCGTTGAGACTGGGCGGACTCCAGCACGAGGTCCTGGGACTCGCGACTGGGATCAACGAGCTGGAAAGAGTATACCTAGGCTCGGAAGTGGACCCGAGTCACTCGGACTTTGACACTGGCTCCGACATGACTATTTGGACCTGGACCCACTCGCCCGGGTCTGCTTCAGACAAGGTCTGGGTCATCTACGTCTGATGAGAAACCGGCTCCACAACCAGCCACGATGCCGGCTCCTAATCTCTCGCAGACTATCGAACAGAAGCCAGAGCGTGTTTTTGCGAGGGTGCACGCGCTGCGACCCTGTCCGATGGGTGACGGCCCCCCGCGCCGGCGACGCTGGCGGCGCCCCTGGGCCGGCCGGGGCGGACTGTCACGTCGCACTGACACCCGCTCGTCCGGCCCGGCCCGCCGCACTTCGCTGAGCTCGCAGGTCCGGTCAGAGACACCCGCCGTGAGGTGCCGGTCAAACACTCTCGCGCGTCCGCCCGACCCGCCGCACTTCGCTGAGCTCGCAGGTCCAGGGTGCCGGTCAAACACACCCGCCGTCCGTCGTCACGTGACCCGCACATCGTACGCCAGCCACCATGCACGGGCTGCACGTGGTGGATCTGATCAAGAAGAAGGCGCTCGGTCAGGAACTGAGCCCGAAGGAGATTCAGTTCTTCGTGACTCAGGTCTCTGAGCGCAAGATTGACCAGGTGCAGTTAGGTAAGAGAGCCGATACTTGGCTGCGCGTGTGTAGAATAGAGATAGCCGTTAATGATTAGCTCGAAATAGCTATTTACGTTGGTTCGGGGTTCTGTTTTCAGCAACGTTGCAAAAGAGGCGGCTCAGCTAATTCAGATTGCTTGAACGGTTTGAGAGAGTATACGCAAGCATGCTAATTACATGATGCGTGTACCACGTTATTGATATAATCGTTCCCACAGTTGAGACTAAAATCATCTAGATCACCTCTAACATGCGTGTCGAGTCTCTGTCTGTGCCGGACGCCCTTCGGCAGATGGGCTGCTTACCTACCCTTGCTGGCGATGCGGAAGGCAGAAGGCGCTATGACTGTGACACTGCGAGGTCCTTTGCGCGGTGTTGCAGATGACATCCAGTATTATGTTTCTATATTATATATATATATATATATATATATATATATATATATATATGCTCATATTTGTGTGAGTGCATGCGTGCGTTTCGCGGCAACTCCAGCTGAATGCAGCATCGAGAATAGCGCAGTCGAACCGAACGGCAGTCGAATCGAACCGAGAACAGTCGCAGTCGAACAAACGGCATGGGGGATGCTGAACGCATAATCTATTTCATGAAGAAGATATCTGGACGCACTGACGGCATCCTGGTAACGTGCGAATGAATGCACTATTTATAGCATGTAACGTACAATCAAACGCGCCGTTAATATTATGGCAGGGTCTGGGATGTCACTTTGTATACTTTAGAGGGGGCGAGCCCCTCCCCGCTTAAAGGGAATATTCCGCTTTCGAAGGTGCTGAAGCAAGCATCAGATACGATTGCATAGGATCACTTATAGCCATTGGTACATTTTCGAGTAGAAAAGACAGCTCTAGACGATCAAATTTCTCTATTTAGTAAATATGCTTTTCAACGCGTCATTGATTGCGTCATGAAACGTTTGTAAGACGTTGAGGTGCTGCCAAACTAGTCCTACGAAATTGCCACCCTAGCACTCACCTGCCTTACTTCAATCTCCCGAGAGGTAGCCGGGGCGCCGTGGCGGTGCTGAAGGTGTTTTTTCAACCAAATATTGTTTTGTGCTCCTGTTTTGACCGTTTCTCAATATGTTCTTCCAAATTTATCCTTGAGATTAAGTTGTTTGTATTCGCATGCTCGGTTATGGCGCTTTTTTAGGTTATTTGATTGCAAGTCTTATTTTCATAATAACCAGCAACCATCTCCAACCTCTTGCATTATGTACTATAAAACGTAATAAGTGTTTGAATTTTGTGTAGCCTACACGACATTGATTGAGAGTCAATTTACGTCCGTTTTATCTGGAAATTGTGCCCACGAATGCTAGATGCAAATGAACCGACAATTGTGTCCTTATTGGCCTCGAGCGTCGCATGGCCAATGGGGTGACAGGATTTTAAGGAAGTTTTTAGAGTGTCATGCGTGCCTGACTGATTTTGAAATAGTCTGCATGAAACTAGAAAGGCTTAGATCTAGCACGCGCTCGGGTGGGAGCGTCAAACTGACTCACCCGAAGGTTTTTTGGGGAATGGTCTCCGAACGGCGCGGCTTGACCGCGCCAAGTTTTGCCTGCGCGTAAACAATGAAATAGTGGATCGTTTGGTATGAAAAATGTAGATGTACCTTGTAAGGTCGCGGACCTTTAGTAGGTCAAAGTCAGGCCATGGATTGAACGAAGTCGGCTTCTAGAGAATTGTTCAATCTGGTGCAACAACGAAGTGTTAAAGGAAGCCTTGCATCTCTGAGACATTTTCTTAGGCAACACAATAATTGGATGAACAAATTTGACTGACCTAGAGTCAGGCATGAAGGTCAGACCAATCTCAAGACCAACCAGTTTTATTACTCTACGGCTTATTGTATTCGATAGTTTCTGACGCTCATTTCAAATTTATTAAAAACAGGAATCACATTATACACCTTCCATGAACTTCTTAAAGTTCAAGATAGGTCACTGATCTAAAACGATCCATATCGACATTTTCTTTTTAGGAGCATACTGCCTAGTGTAATCTGTGTCGCTTATTCGGACGCAAAACTCAAAACAGTCTCGTATGATTTTGGTCATCATGACCTTCAAAGGGTTAAACAAGGTCACCGACCCTAAGTGAGCATGTGCCCTTTCGCTTAGAACAGATATCTAGGTTCTGAGGGCATTTTGGAGACCAGCCTGGAGTTTGACCTTGTTTGACTTTATTTGACCCGAAGGTCATGAGCTATGAGGCTCAAACTTTGACCTAAGTGATTTCATGTACAGGCCAACACATCTTGTGAATTTAGTGTCTATAGCTCTCTTGTTCCTGAGATTTCAGGGGGTTTAAATTACCCCCCACCCGAGCGAAGGGCATCCAACCGGCCGCCAGGGTGACGGTCCCCTATCCGGACAACGCTCCCCGCTTCTCGTCCACGGTGGGCGGCCCACCATTCCCTCGGCCACGCCCACCGCTTGCAGCTTTCCGCTGTTGCCCACGTGCCTTAGGTGGCGCTTCGCCCAGCCCGGGGGTGTCGCTTCCGGCGCTTCTGCGCCCTCGCATCCCGCCCGCTGGAGTGAGCTTTGCAAGGCGCCACTTCATGACACGTCCCTCGGAAACCTGGAGAGGCCTCGGAGGCCCTCAAAGACCTGGAGGTAGACAGCGCGCTCGATGGGACTGTGGAGTCCTTCGGCAGACGGCGAGCGCCCGACGTAACCTGCGTTCAAGCCTTCGGTCTCCACGGCCGGCGCGCTCTGGAGGCTCGGCCTGACCTGCCTGTCCGACGACCTGGTCCCTTGTCGCCCTCCCTATGAGCGTCGATGGCGGGATCTCTATCCGTCCTGACCATCCCGCCGTCAAGATCTCATAAGGTCTGCCTAACGCCACATCGGAAGAGAACAGGCTGCGTCCCGTCCCCTCCCAAGGCACTGTACACCAACAGACAGACCCAGCTACTGCCGTGCATAATCCGGCATCCCGGGCGGTCCTCACTGGTCCTTGGCCATATCATAACCTATGCCTCTGCATGCCATCACGCCTGAGGTCAAGTGAGGGACAATGAAACGAGTCGACCGTCTCTCAGTCCGTAAAAGAGCGAAGTCGTGCATTTGAGTCGTGCGACCCATCAAACAGTTATCTGCGTAAGAACAGGACTGCCGTCCTCTGGCTGCTTAATCCTGAATATACCCCAGGCGGGCTGCTCTGGCACGTTCCGCGCTTGTCACTTTTTGCGGTCATTACCAATACTGCGCGACTCGTCCCTCGTTACGGGAGCAGCGGGATGCGAATCGACAAAAGAATGTGTCAGTCTGGGTGGAGTCTGGCGAGGTAGATCAAGCAGCAAATTAAAAAGGGAAAGAAGCGTAAGTGCAGGCAAAACCCATGCACGTGACCTGGGAGAGGTATAGCTGAGAATCTACGGTCCCTAATCACTCGAGAAGGTTAAGGAAACGAGAAACAGGCAGGCCGACGAGCTGAGCAACAGACCAAGGCTCCAGACAAAAAAAAACCGTTTTGGATGTGCGGTCGCGGCTTGTGCGCCGCGCCGGGCTCGAGGCGTGACCGGTGATGGCTATAACGAAACGACCTGAATCCTTATGGCTGCCTCCAGTGGCTGAACCAAGAAAGTCCTGGTGTAGGCTGATGAACGAGCCGACGCGCCGGGGTGCGCTTCACCGGCCTCGGTTGCCCCATGCCCAACCACGCCGGGGGCGAGCGTCCTGTCGCCACTTGGTCGAATCACCTCCAGCCTCGCCTCCACGCTAAACCATTAAAACACAGAACGCCACGAGTATTTACAAAAATCACTCACACATAGACAAATTGCATGACACGTTCCCCTTCATTATGGGATAAGGACCGACACACCGTGGCGGGCCGGGAGGGTCGCATGGCTAGTGCTCTCCCCCCTTACCCAACCACACGGGAGGGAACGGGTGGCCGTGGCTCACGCCCACCCGGTGGAGAGGGATCAAGGGACACGCTTGGAGCGCCAGCCGTTCATGGCTCGGTAAGGATGACAACAACTCGTGGACCCACACGTGCATGTTGACGGCGGTATCCCGTTGTTAGTGAGGCTAGATGTCGCCACCAGGTTGTCATCACCACCTCTCCTCCGCGCGCCCCACTCGTAACCCCCGCCCCCCCCCCCCCCCACCCCCAGTGACTCTCCTCAATAGACTCCTTGTACCATGTTTTAATTTTTCGTGATTCTTCCAACTGGGTCGGCCCGCTCTCATCGTCTTGCATGTTCCAATAGTTTTGCCACAAAGCCCCCTCCGTCCAATGTGTTGCCGGGACGGCCTGCGCTGATTTCAAGGTCCGGCCCACAACGTGTCCCTGGGCCAGATTTCAGGCGTGGCGTCGCCGGCAATGGTGCAAGACCCGCCCACGCTCGCCTCGGGAGGACCTCGCGCGTCTCCCTCAGTCCCAGTTCTCACGTGGCGTGGCGCTTCTGATGCCTGGAGTGATGGCAGCGCCGGCGCGGCGGAGTTCTTGGGGCGGAGCGGCGGCATCTTCTGAACATGCCAGACAAATATCCCAGCGCGCATGTTATTTCGCCGGTGATCTGGCTTTTCGCGTCCATTGGTCTTGACGGGATGGTCCATTTTGCAAGAAGACGCTATCGTCACGGTCGTTCCGGAGGGAAGGGGAACGATGGCTTACCCCGCCTGGCCGGGGGACACGCACTGTTTACTCCCGCAGATCCGGTCAGCAATGCGAGCCGATCGGCCGTAGTGTCGGAAGAGCCCGCATACCGCGCTCAGGCCCCTCTCGGCCTAATGGTTGTGTTTGGTTCGGCGGGGGGAGTTTCAAACCATGGCCGGCTTGCTCGCTGTCCCATGCTCCGTCGGGAAGCCCCACCGGTCCGGGACGGGTGGCGTGCAAAGCGAAAAGTATGGAAGTGTATGTCCACACTGCATCAAAAGTTAGGCTCATCACGCTGTTTCCAGGCATTGCAAAATTGTGGATTACCTTTTTACACGTCCGATCTAATCACGTCTGGTCTTGTCTGCTGTCATGTCTTGCTTTTTTGGCACTGACCCGCACAGATTCGTGGAATGTCCCTCGACCTGTGCCGCACCTGTAACTGCTACGGACAAAATCCTGCATGGCAACGAACGATCCGAAGCGACGCTTCTTACGCCTTTAAGCCTAAGCTGTTGTTTCGGTGTGGTGGGCCGCTCTATCCTCCTTACGAAGCTCCGGCTGCTCCCAACCTCCACCGGACGGTCTTAGAGCTTTTTGGACGGTCTCGTGTAGCGAGTGGGTGAGGGAGAGACGCTGTCTAGCTCCTTAGATATCACTACTGACACTTTGCATGGCTGTTGTCTGGGCCCTTTATTGTATAGCATAATCGGTAATGACCTTATTAAGCATATACCGTCTTATGCAGTGTAGGCATACATTTCCATATTTTTCATTCAGCTTCAACCGTCCCGGACCGGTGGGGCTTCGCAGGGTGCAAGCCGGTCATGGTCTGGAACTCCCCCGCCGAACTAAACGTAATATTAGGCCGAGAGCGTGGTATGCAGACTTTCCCGACACTACGGCCGATCGGCCCGCATTGCTGACAGGATATGCGGGGGAAACAGTGTGCGTCGCTCGGCCAGGTGGGGCAAGCCGTCGTTCCCCCTTCCCCCCGGAACGGCCACGACGATGGCGTCTTCTTGCAAAATGAACCATCACGTCAGGACTCATGGACGCGAAAAGCCAGATCAGCGGCGAAATAACAAGCGCGCAGGAATGTTCATCTGGCATGTTTGGGAGATGTTGCCGCTCCGCACCAAGAACCCCGCTGCGGCGGCTGAAATCCGCGGCTTCCGTGCAAGAGTAGCCTGTTACGCTGACGGCACGTAAACCGCCGCCACTGGATCACGTAGCAAGGTGTCAGATCTGCGACGATCTTTGGGGGCGATCACGAACACAATATATGCGTGGTTTTTCCAACATGGCATGATCGTTAACGCTGATTAGACGGGACTTTTACTGTGTGGAGACAGGCTGGAGCCTGGATTCATGGACTCATAGATTCTGTACTGTCCTTGGAGATGCACGTGGGTCCTATCACTAGTCATGTTGGCATCCTCGTCGCTGTCCTAGATGCTAAAAACGCGCGACCTACCTGTCCTGCCACACATCATTGACACGCTTGTGTTCTCTCATGTTAAGTTTGCGCTCAAGTGTATGGGAGCGCGAAAAGCACGGTTGTTTACAAATTGCAGGGAATGCTTAACCTCACTGCTAAGGTGATCTTTGGGAGACGTCAATTTAATCGTGCGCTGAATTTTATACGACGTTTTTTTACAGAAAACATTGACCAAGAGAGAGCCGGAGACGTTACCTTCCCGGATCTCATACGATCATCAAAACACCGAGTACAATTTGCATCAGCTTAGACAGTTATCTCTTCCTGGCCCCAAGAACAACCATGGACAGCGGGCATACGCCTGCCGAGCTGCGCAGACATGCAACAAGCGTGCCTTCAGTAATGACATTGCGGACCTACCACTCTCTACTTTCAAAACCTTTTTCCACGACATTGTTAAAAGGACCTGTCCTTTTTAACTCTTGTACTTGTCTCCTTGTGTCGTGTTTACGATCGTCGCATTGTGACTGCACACGTACGTGTTGATGAAGCCCTACGAATAACTCAATCGATGTGGAATGGGCTGATAAAGTGCAATGCATTACAATGCAACGTCGTGTTTAACTGAGAGCACCATAAATATATGGCAGCTGCAATTGAGAACAACCATGCATATTATGACAACTGCCGTATTACGCACCATAAATAGCATAACAGGCGCACCGGTATATGTCACCAGTGTCACAAGTGTCATTAAACCCACTATTAGCATATACATCTGAGCGCGGTACCAATGCTGTGACACGCCCGGCCTCTAGGCATGTAGCGTGGCGAAGAAGTTCACGCTGACCGTGCTCAAACGTGATGTTTTGCACGTGCTTAGTCACAGGGCGAGGGACGGCTGAACGTCAAATATCAAAAATGCATCTAGGCATCAGAAAAAAACATTTTTGGCACTTTGACAGTTGTTAAACTATGCGACCTTGTACAGTGAAAGCGCTTTCTCATGAAAACTAAGCGGCAACAAAGACGCCACAGGCTTTTTAAACTCTTAACAACGCCTCTGACGATACATCTAGGAATATTTTCTCTTCGAACTGAAATTGACAAAAGCGATTTAGCTGTCAGCATGGTGAATGGTGGCGCTAGTAAGACAAGTAACACTCCTCAGTCACCTTGAAAGTTATAAATGCGTGTGCAACGTTGTATGGTCAAACAAATAGAAATGCCCTAGTCCTGCAATCATCAGTTGGTTTCGTAACAAACGCCAGCTATTATTCCACAGCGAGTTTCGTCAAAACCGGAAATATGGAAATGCGTAGTCATCCCTACATTTTGATACAAGATAGATGGCTTGAGATGAATTCCCGAAGAAAAAAAATGACTTGTCACCAGAATGACGGTTGCAGCATTAACTATGGCACGAAAGAAGCTGTTTCAGCGCCCTAATCCTCCAGGTTTTATTTGTTCCATATGGTAAGTCAGCCAGCGAGCGTCGAAATGTCGGGGCGTTTTGCGCGTCGTCTTGCCGCGACCCGCGCAGCTGCCGGCGAGTCATCTCTCGTGTCGCGGTGTTCCGACAGGTGCCATGTTGATGGCCATCTACACCCACGGCATGCGCACAGCGGAGGTGACGCAGCTGACGGCGGCCATGACCCGGTCGGGGCAGGTGCTCGCCTGGCCGGCCGACTGGCTGGTGGTCGACAAGCACAGCACGGGCGGCGTCGGCGATAAGGTGTCGCTGCCGCTGGCCGCCGCGCTGGCCGCCCGCGGCTTCAAGGTGCCCATGGTGTCGGGCCGCGGCCTGGGCCACACGGGCGGCACGCTCGACAAGCTGGAGGCGATCCCAGGTGAGCGGTGGTGAGCCGAGCCGGTCCAGCGCACGGGCTCGAGGAGCGGTGAAGCGGGTCGCCTTCTGGTAGGGGTCGACGGGTGAGAGACTACGATCTTGACGCGAGATGCATGGAAAACCTCTGAGTCGTGGTTGGGATCTAGTGGTAGGAACTGATCATATCACACCAGGCTGGCCGTGTTAAATGGTCATCGAAATTGCCTCAGCTAAACGTAATTTTTGAAGCGGTGTCCCACAGTTTTCATTGGATGCACAGGCAGCAAATTTAACATTTCGGTGTTGCAACCTCGCATGCTACCTCAATACTTATCACTGACATTTGCTTCTCCTCAGACATTCGACATGCTACGTTCCGATCTACCAAGAAACGGTGCTTAATACAGTAGGTTAAACTCACTGATGCTTTGCATACAGACAATGTTAAGTGATTGTCTTTGCAATGGCACAGGCAGACTTCAGAGTGACGATTACAATTTGTGTTCGCAAATCATTCATAGCGTGCTCGGTCGTTCCTCGTGAGATAAGCTGCAGGTTTATCCGAGTAAATATCCACTTATCCGAGGCAGTGAACTACACAACACCAATCCGGAGCAGGCGTGCAAAATTCGCAATGCCCTCGGGAGGTTATTTCAAAACTTTACTGAGCAGGAACTGCGCCGAACGCGTTGGCTAGAACCATCAAGAGCCGGTTCTAATAGACAGGTAGTTCAATGACGGCCTGGGCGTTTCAGCCCTGCAGTAAATGGAACACTGAATACTCTGGACTCATGTCTTGTGAGTAAAATATACGTTATACCGGTTCATTGCCGCATGGAAAGGGACAGAACTGTAAATTGTCTGCGCAGTGCTTTTCAATTTGCTCACAGGGCCTTGCCTGCCTGTCTCACTGATATACGTAATCACGACACGGGCCTCTGCCTTGATGTCCCACTGGCGACTTATCTGACTTTAATCCGGTTCCTCCGACCAGACTGGTGTTTACAATTCGTAGTATCGTACGGACGATTGCGTCAGATCACCTGTCATAAAACTGATGGTAGGCCGTGAGGATCGCAAGCTTTCCCTTTTCCACGCTGCACGGTGTTGTAGGGATTCCATACAGCCCAGCGAACGTAAAAGGCAATGCCCGGAACCAGTCAGCCACCACGTCAGTGGGGGGAGGGGGGGGGGGGGGGCAGGTTGGTCGTGAAGATAGTGGCGTCGGTGTCTCTGTGGCAACAATTGGACTCGAAGCGCCGTCATCGATCACGGAAGGGTGTGGGCTCAAGGAATAGGATTTCACGCCAGGCATGCGCTTCCGCGTGCCAAACGTGGGGCTGGTAATCAGGCGGCGAACACTTGGCAGAGCCTCGTGCATCTCAGCTCAAGTTATTTTTCTTAACATGGAGACCCGACGTACTGTCATCCAGCCAAAATTGTCACTCCCGTGCCGCTGCCACTCTGCCTCTCTGATCGTGATCGCCTACCACGACACTGAACGAGTTCGGAAAACACAGGAGAAGCTATTGTAAGCATGTGCAGCGTGCGGGGTTCAGCAGCCTGTCGCACCGAGTCACGCTCCGCAGGGTTCACCGTGAGCATGACGGCCGAACAGATGCGCCAGTCTCTGGAGCGCGTGGGCTGCTGCATCGTGGGCCAGACGCAGGACCTGGTGCCGGCCGACCGCATTCTGTACGCCAGCCGGGACATCACGGCCACCGTCGACTCGGCGCCGCTCATCACCTGTGAGCGGCCCCCGGCGCCCACCAGCGGCGGCCAGTGGCAGCACGGGCGGGTGTGGGAGGGAGGGGAGAGGGGAGAAAGAGACAGAGAGAGACGAGAGAGAGAGAGAGAGAGAGAGAGAGAGAGAGAGAGAGAGAGAGAGAGAGAGAGAGAGAAGAGAGAGAGAGAAAAGAGAGACAGAGAGAGAAAAGAGGAGAGAAGAGAGAGAGAGAAGAGAGAGAGAAGAAGAAGAGCGAAGAGAGAGAGAGAGAGAGAGAGAGAGAGAGAGAGAGAGAGAGAGAGAGAGAGAGAGAGAGAGAGAGAGAGAGAGGAGAGAGAGAGAGAGAGAGAGAGAAGAGAGAGAGAGAGAGAGAGAAGAGAGAGAGATAGGAGAGAGAGAGAGAGAGAGAGAGAGAGAGAGAGAGAGAGAAAGAGAGATCAAAAGGGAAGCTTCCTGAGGAGAAGTTCCGTGAGGCAGATGATGGTGCCTAGGGATACAGATAATACGGGCACTTTTTGAATTGGTTTGGAGTGGTTTGCATGAGTGGCTTTGTGTTCAGAGCACTTGATGCACATCTGATTTCTAGGCTGTGCAGCAATGCAGCAAATATCGGTAAAGGTCTTGCATGCTTTTCACACAGCAGTTGTTGTTTTTCATCAAACTAAAAGCAAACGCGAACCATTGCTTCTGCAACGGTTCGTGTGTTACGAATATTTATGCCTGTGTGGGGAAATATTCAAAGGGGTACCGCGAATCAAGTGCTCTCTGTCGCTCCAAGCTCTTACACATCTGCATATGCTTGTCTGTAAATGTCGTCAGTCAAAAAGTATGGAGCAAAACTAAGAATAGGTAGATTGGGAAGATACCATGCTGTTTTACGTCGTGCAAGACATTCCGAGCGCGCCACAAGCGCTACCAAGCTTTTTTTGTTGAGTTTGAAATGTTTAGCTACCCCTCCCCCTCCCATTGCGCAGTCCTACATACGCCCGTGCACCTGCAATCGCCACCTGTTTTCCCCATGAGGCAGGATACACCAGCACTGATAGCGATTGCCGCCTATCTAATCACGCCGTCGGCTGTCAACAAAATAATGGTCGACTGACACTCAGCCTTCGAATAAAGTCCGCGTCGATAGCGTAAGCCCAGTCGCAAAGCACAGATCGGATGTTTATGAAGGCGGGACATCGGTGATCGTGGCCACCCGTCGCTGATTTGCATAATGAATCATGTCATTCCCAGTAGTAGGCCTGTATCGGTGAATTTCGGGTCTGTCCCATAATCATCCAGCACAAACACATAAATCGAATACAACGATTTAGTCTAGATGGATGGATGGATGGATGGACAGACCTAAATCACTAGGTGGCTGGAACATATCGAATTGGAATGTAACTTTATCTTCAGGCCACTACAAAAACAGTTTTAGGAAAGCGTGCTTGGTGGAACGTTCCGTTGCGCGCGCCCGCCTCCCGGCTGATGATAGCCCTGCTATGCGATAGGGTGGCCAGATTGCCCGCCGCTCAGACGCGACAACTTTCACTGCGCATGACATTTCCGCTCCCTTTTCAGGCCGGACGCCAGTAGAGCAGTGTTTAAAATTGGTAACGCTGGGTGACTTCTCAATGCAATATTCGTAGTTGCCTACACTTTGACCACCCGCCCTGTCCTCCAGGTGTAACACCCATTCATCTGTCCTCTTCATCAGGTGTAGCAGCCGATGACCTGTCCTTTTCACCAGGTGTAACAGCTGTCCGACGACCTGTCTGCTTTTGCAGCGTCCATCATCAGCAAGAAGGCGGCAGAGGGGCTGAGGGCGCTGGTGTTGGACGTTAAGTACGGCTCCGGGGCATTTATGAAGGAGTTCGACGAGGCGCGTGACACAGCGCAGCTACTGGTGAGAGGGAAGCCCGGCGTCGATATCTTCTTCCCCCCCCCCCCCCTCCCCCGGCGGCGCCGTCCCCCGGCCGGCGCCGCGCTCTCTGCCGTCCTCGAGCCTCGTCAGCGCCGCCGCGGTCCCCAGCACCCGGGCACTGGGTGCGAACGACTGCTGACAAACTCACAGGCAGGCGTGTCACCTAGTATATTGTGGGGGATGCCGGACAACTGAGGGTTTCAGGTTTGATCATTAGGCCCGTGTAGCGTGACGTCACCGTTCTTTTTCACTTATATCTTCGGAAAATGACACCTCCTCTCTAAGAGATGTGGCCATCAGAAACACGCTTTGATGGCCTGTGCTTTTCTGAAGTATGCAAGGAATTTTAATTCCGAAAAGCTGCTTTTCTAATCCGGAAAAAACAACACAATGGAAGTATTTCGATGTTTATGCCATTTACTACGCAATGCTAACGCACTTATACACGTAATGTTAGTACGTTAACGAGCTTTTCCCGTTCGGACTCAACGAAAACGAATATTGTGAAAAAGTTTGCTGGGTGCCGGCCGGAGGGCCTGGGAAAAGCGGAAAAAATTACAACAGCCCTCTCTACACTGGCATTTTCATAGAGGAATTTACTTATGCGCAGTTTTTAAATACACGACGGCTTGGGTAAATAGTGGCAAAACAGGTTGTTTTCAGCTTTCAAGCTAGCCGGCTGTTTTTATCCGGAATCAACTTTGTTTCGTCGTCACTTACTTATTCGTCATTCCACCTTTGCGGTGCATTATGGGTTGGGCAGACTCAACTGACCGAATCTGTAAAAAAATGCGCTTGTGAAAAAGGATGGGTAAGGTTCATGGGTTCGACTCTCCAATGAATATGCGAAGCCCTACCCTTGGCCCCTGCTTCGGTGAGACCCCGTGTTCCGGTGAGACTCTGGCTCCGGTGAGGCTCCTGCTCCGGTGGGGCCCCGGCTTCACTGAGCATCCGATTTCGGTGAGACTCGAGCCCCGGTGAAGCCCTGCTCCGTCGAGGCCTCTTCTCCGGTGAGGCCCTGCTCCGGTGAGGCCCAGCTCCAGTGGGGCGCTGCTCCGGTGAGGCTCCGGCCCGGTGAGGCCCAGCTCCATGAGGCCCCGGCCCCGGCGAGGCCCGGCTCCCGAGCACGGCAGCCCGCTGACCAAGCCCTGCCGAGCCCCGTCGACTGACAACGCTCGCTGCTGTCCATGTCTCCCAAAACAAGCTACGCTGCCGTCGGCACCCAACCCGCGTATCTCACACCATTATCCGGTTGTATTCAAGGTCATACGCCTTGGCATGACAGTGAGATTTTGACAAATTATGTACAGCGGTGCAGGAACCGCGGGCCCTGGGAACCGGTCTTACAATCTTCTCAGTGAAGTATCTCTTACGGTATTCGAGTTCATGCCCCTCAACGGTTTACCTGTCGAGTGCATGTATGATATAAAGGCTTGCAGATAGATATGATATAAAACAAAACTCATGAATGAACTTCCCTGAAACCCAAAAATGTATTTGGGTTATAGCTTGTGGAGATATCAAAACTGGGAGCAGCCAAGCTCAATTGAGATGCATTGCCTGCCTATACTCACAACCAAACTGAATGCCCACAATCAGACTAAACACCAAAAATATTGATGTCGTACAACCGAGGCTTTTTTACTGCTGCGTATAGCCCGACAAGAAGAGCAGATACCCTATCTGTATCGCGTTCCGCTTCACTCACACGCTACAGCCATCTGTCTGCTGTCTACCTTCAATGACAAAACTACAATGTACACATGTGTAAGAACAGGAGTGCTGGAAAGCCTTGGCCCTTTGTAAAACGTTGAATCATAAATTTCGAAAAGCCATATGGCGGTACATAGAAAAAATCGACTCTAAAATTGGCTTGGGCTCCACACTTCTTGAAACGTTCCTACGCCAATGACGCCTGTCATTGGCGTAGGAACGTCTCAGAAAGCGTTGGCCTTCAACGCAGCTGTGATAGCGTACGTTAGCGGCGTCCTTTATTCCTGACTCCCACGTGCCGTATGTCGCCAGGTAAACACTTCCAAAGGAATGGGGATCAGCACCGCCGCCCTGGTCACCAACATGGACTCGCCCATCGGGCGGGCGGTCGGTAACGCGCTGGAGGTGGCCGAGTCCATCGCCTGTCTGCGAGGGGAGGGCGCCCCGGACCTGGTGGAGCTGGTGACCGAGCTGGGAGGCCGGCTGGCCGCGCTCGCCGGCCAAACCTCCCCCGAGGAGGGTTGCCGCCAGATGGCCACCGCCCTCCACGACGGCTCGGCGCTGGATAAGTTTCAGCAGATGCTGGAGAGCCAGGGTGTTAGCCAGCAGAACGCGCAGCAGCTCTGTCGCGGCGACCCGTGGGGTGTGCTGACCAAGGCGGACCACGTCGAGTCCGTGCCGGCCACCGCTACTGGTACGTGCTCCAGCCACCGAGCGAGCCCCAGCCGAGCCAGCAGCGCCAGGCAGTGTTGAGTGACCGGTCTGCGCATTACCAACCGACTCCACGTACATATTCATGCACGCTAACTCTGTCATTGACACCATGTTGCCCTGCACCACCACCAGTCTCTCACCCACAATGTTCCATCCGATTTTACGCCACGCGCCGAGTGGTCGATTGTCCCTGATGCGCCACGTCAGTCCTCAAGCGCCGCTTCACCTGCGCAGGATACGTCAGCGATATCGACGCCATGACGGTGGCTCAGGTGTGCCTGTCGCTGGGCGCCGGCCGCAAGAAGGCCGCCGACACCGTCGATCATCGTGTGGGCGTCACGCTCGCCGTCCGTCCCGGCGAACACGTGCAAGCCGGCCAGGCCTGGGCCCAGGTGAGCCTTCACCTAGCCGCTGCCAGGGCCGGTAGGTAGAGCTGGTAGGGCCGACTGGGACACGCAGGCGTGAGGGAAGTCATCCAAGTTGGGAAGGGAAGGAGGGAAGAGGGACGATAACCGTGTTTGGTTAGCTCTTTCCCGTCGACGCCAAATATGCTAATGTTCAAAAAGTTCAGGGGTCAGCCCCTCCCGCCCCCCCCCCTTCCCCCAGTCCGCTCCCGGCGCCTCTGGCCGGCCGGCGTATATTGTTCTCCGCATCCCCGAGCGGTGCGCACTCGCAGCCGCGCTGAAACGCAGCCGCGTGCGGCGCCCTGCCAGCGCAGGCGGACGTGCTGCCGCAAGCAGGCGGGCGTCGGGTGGCTGCATATCTAGGGTTTTAAACGTGCTGCCGCGTGCAGGCGGGCGTCGGGTGGCTGCATATCTAGGGTTTTAAACGTGCTGCCGCGAGCAGGCGGGCGTCGGGTGGCTGCATATCTAGGGTTTTAAACGTGCTGCCGCGAGCAGGCGGGCGTCGGGTGGCTGCATATCTAGGGTTTTAAACGTGCTGCCGCGTGCAGGCGGGCGTTGGGTGGCTGAATGTCACGTTTTTAACATGCGGCTGCCTGCTGAGTTGTCGAACCAATGCCATGTCAGGTGGCAAGGGGATGGTATTTGTTCATCAGTCGACGCCAGTGTTCTGTTTTATTTGACTCGTTTTGTTTTGTGTCTTGTCCACCTGCTTTGTTATGGGTCTGCCAAATATGGCGTTGGTATTCACCGTGGATAAACAAAACGCGACCTTGGTTGGGCTCATTTTATTTATGACATGCTGCCTGGAAGCCTGACATTATTGAAGCCAAGGATTACCGGCCCAAGGGATGCATTTTCAACTTAATTATTCGAAATCCCAGGGTAACTTATTTCGGAGAGCTTGTGGGACTCATCGCAGTGCTTTACTTGGCGGTATTTTGGCACGAATGTGGTGGCGGGTGGAACAAGGAAACGGAACACACATGCCTGTATTTGTAGCTTTAGAAATATGATAGTGCATGCAGATAAACAAACGCCCGACATGTCAGCGCTCTGGGATATGTGCCGACTGCAACGCTCTCCGCGTCAGCTCAACGGCATTACCTCGGGGTCGGGCTGCCCCAAAGAACAAGGTATTTAAAAGTATCTAAAGATATATCCATGTGCAAGGCGTTTTTGTTATGGTGGTACATTACAATTACAAAATCCCCACAGAGGTCAGGAAAATGCCGCGTATAATGAATGCCGCACCGGAATTTTGCAAGCTGAGCAGAGAACATCACGAGTCGGGGCTAGGTAGTCCCGACCTAGGCTTCTTTTCTTACATATAACTTCCAACTTATTGTTTCCTTTCTCCAATACTCGATCGATGCAAATAATTTCCTGTTGCACTGTTTCGTTCATCGCTATATCTAGTGCAAGCCTTTAGTTTTGTTACTATCACGTGGCGATGACACGCATTTATGCAAATATCTGCGAATAGAGCTGTGTCATTGTTTCATATATCCGCCCAGTATAACTAGGCCTGGATGAAACGCTTCGCTTCAGTGAGCCACTTCATGTGCGGCTCGAAAAGGATTTCACATTTTGTCATAAACCAGAGGACCTAAGTTTCAGAAACAGACCAGACCAATGTGGCAGAAATCTAATGGTTCATGCAACAGCATTTTTGTGAAAATGGCTTCACGCGCGCGAAATAACATTCCAAAATGCGTGGCGGAATGCGTGGTCACCGAGTGCGTTTTTCAGAACCAGTAAACGCATTGCTGTACACTTCTGTGGTGCGAGCACAAACAGCTCAGGTGTAGGACCAAATGAGTGAAAGCAGTTCTGTGTGTGGGGGGGGGGGGGAGGGTTCTGCGATGGGCGACGTGCGCTGCCGCCTGGCAGCCGCTGGCTGTTGTGCGCCGCCGGCTGCCGCTGTCACGCCTCCCTACAAGGGCAACTTTGTACTGAGGAGCCCATTGGTCAGCATACGAGCCAGATGCTGTTAGCACACGACTCGGCACGTTGTGACTCCGGTACACTCGACATCAACACACATGTGAGCCACAGAACTAGGATGCAGCGGATAACCGTGACGTAGGCGAGGTGATGGGTCCGGTCAGGCACCATGGACGGCTGTCTCCCAGCACACGGTACTCCACCTCCACCGCTTTAGCTTATGATTATATGTAAACGGGGCGAAAACGGAACCGAATGCACTGATCATACGTCCAACTGGCAAGCGTCCCACGCGCTGGGAAATTATATTGGCAAGGGCTCGATGGATAATAATCCTGGGAGCCCGCCCCCCCCCCCCCCCCCAACCTTAACTAATTCACGCAGACTCCATGCACTCGGCGCCCCACCACACTTACTCCAAGCACACACATACGCTGGCGCCCACGTCACCCCACTCATCTTTGGCTCGCACGCGGATGCCCCCCCCCCCCCCGTTCGCAGTGTCTTGACATTATAATTGGCTCGTCTGCGTGGGTCCTCGTTAAATTAAGCCGAATTTAGTTATCACATTGCAAGCCTTTAATAAAGCCACGTTTAAGCCCTGTTTAAAATATATCGTGTCGAATTGGCAGCGCGGCACCGACGCAGTTGCTGGGCCGACATCGAGTGTCCGAAGTTGGACGGCGACTCGTTCCCTCGCCTCACCTCCAGGGTGACGGCTCCACGTTTACATGACACTCCCGCGTTCCATCCACGGAGGGTGGCCCACCATTCACTCGGCCACGCCCACCGCTCGCAGCTTTCCGCTGCCGCACATTCGCCTTAGGCAGCGCCCTGTCCAACACGGAGGCGCCGCCTCCGGTACTTCTGCGCCCTCGCCTCCCGCCTGCCAGAGTGAGCGTTGCAAGGCACCGCCCCACGGGGCGCCCCTCAGAGGCCTGGAGGTAGGCAGCGCGCCCGATGGGACGGTGGAGCCCGTCGGCAGACAGCGAGCGCCCGGCGTGACCCGCGTTTACGCCTTACGGTCTCCTCAGCCGGCGCGCTCTGGAGACTCGGCCTGATCGGCCCGTCCGGCGGCCTGGTTCCTCGTCGCCCTTCCTATGAGCATTAATGACGGGATCTCTAGTTGTCTCGAACATACCGCCATCAAACGCTCATGAGGCCTGGCGTACATCACGTCGGAAGAAACAGGCTGTATCCTGTTCTCTCCCAAGGCGGGGACACCACGGATAGATCCCACTACCACCGTGCACGATCCGGCGGCAGAAGATTTTGCACAAGCAAAATGTTCTGCTTAAACAAAGCAATTAACTTTTAACTCCCCCACCGAAAAACAACAACAGGCAAACAGAAAAACAAATACACGCGCACGAATACCATAAAAATCAGTTGATAGATTGGGTCGAGCCAGCGATAAAATAAAGGCAGCACGCGCATGATGAAATCTTTGCGGGTATGCTGGACGGGATTCGGCAAGAGTAACGCCATCCCGAACAATCGGAAAATGAATTAAGAGAACGAGAAAGGTCAAATCTTCCAGCTAGCCAAGAGACCTACGCCACAGCGAAGGGGAAACCTTAATGGGTACGACGGCGTGGCCCGTCTGACCGCGACAGAGGAAAAAAGAGGACCGTGACGAGTCGCCGCGCCTCCCCGGGGCCGCCTCCAACGACACATCAAGCTAGCCTTGGCGTGGGCTTACGGGCGACCCGTCGCGCCGAAGCACGTGTTAACGGCCTCGGTCGCCATGCCCACCCACGCCGGGTGCGAATGTCGCCGCCTGACCCGATCACTCCAGCCTCGCTTCCACACTAAACAATTTAAAATGCAGACCAGCAACTGTATTTACAAATCACCGAGACATAGACGACCCACGGACACGTCACCCCCTCCCCCTTCCTTAATAATGGGAGTGGGCCCGAGACACATTGCCGTCCGGGAGTGTCGCATGGCCAGTGCCCCCCCCCCTCCCCTCCCCTCCTTAACTACACGGAAGGGAACAGGTAGCCGTGGCCCGCGCCCGCCCGGTAGGGAGGGGTCAGGGAACATGGGAGCGCTAGCCATCCAGGGCCCGGTAAGGATCGCGACAACAGCCTGTGAGCTCACACATGCATGTTGTCGCCGTTGTCCCGTTGTACGCAGGGCCAGATGTCGTCGCCTGGTTGTCACCACCACGTCCCCTGCGCGTTCCTCGCTCCTCGGAGCACCTCGGGAGACTCCATCCTCAAGCGCCTTCCCTGGACTCTTCCCCTTCTCTTCTCTCGAGAGACTCCAGTCTTCCCCGGGCTCTCCACATTGACTCTTGACCTTCACTTCTGTCCAGAGACTCCCAGTCTTTTCTGGTGGACCCTTCCAATTCAGTTCGGCCCCTCGTTTTTTTGCGTGGTCCAACAGATTTGCCGCCTAGCCCCCTCCGTCCAATTTGTCGCCGGGCCGGACTGCGTTGCTTTCAGAGTCCGGCCCCTAACGAGCCCTTGGGTCAGATCTCGGGTGTGGCGTCGCTGGCGACGACGCAAGACCCGCCCGCTCTCGCCTCGGGCGGTCCCTGCGCGCGCCCCCTCTGGCCCAGTTCCCACGTGGTGTGGCGCTTCTGATGCCAGCTGGGGCGACGGCGGCGCCGGCACGGCGGGGTCCCTGGGGCGAAGCGGCAAACTCCTCACATGTGATTTGCACATTCCTGTGCACTTGTTGCGTAGCCGGTTTCTTGGCTCTCACCTCCATGTACCTTGGCGTAATGGACCACTTTGACAGAGGGGGCCACCATCATGGCCGTTCCGGGGAACACCTAGCGTCCCTTTGTTGATGCGGGCCGATAGCGGAGCGTCTGGCGGGGCCGCGTCCAGCTCTCAGGCCCCGCCGGGCCTAATGGTCGTGTTTGGTTAAGCGGGGAATTACTGGCCATGGCCGACTTGTTCGCCGCCCCACGCTCCGCTGGGGAGCCCTCATCGATCCCGGCAGGTGGCGCACAAAATGGAAAGTAAGAAAATGTATGCCGACACTAATAAGTTCCCTTTAATTTCACGCCCCTGTGAAAAGTCAGAGACCTCTCATTGACTTGGGCCCCTTGCCTGCTCCCCCTACACGCAGTAAACCGCCCGATGCACACCACGGATGATCGCAAACTCTCCCCCAACACACCGCGGACAGTCGTAAGCCCTCACTATACGCACGTACGCGGCACTACCATGGTACCTCAACTCACATACGCACAGCACGTACCCAGCGGACGATTGACACGTTACACAAGCGCGAGGTGGAGCGTCGGCTCACACGCTGTTCATTTGCGCAGTCGCTCTCCATCTCATGCAAACACGGCACGTACACCACTATACTATGGTATGGCGCTATACCCGTATGCGAGGTGGAGCGTCGGTCCACCCGTTGTGCTGGCGGATATATATATATATATATATATATATATATATATATATATGTGTGTGTATTGATAGATAGGTAAAGATATGTATATATGTATATACTCTATACTATATATAGTATAGAGTATATACATGCCCCATATATATATATATATATATATATATATATATATATATATATATATATATATATATATATATATATATTGAGTTTCATTGTTGGGTTCGTAGAATGCGTAAATCGCTTTTGCATTGATGTTGTAATCAAGTTGGTGTTACTGCAGTATTGGACAAAAAGCTTGGTTATCGAAATCCTGTTTTTCTGCGACCAGTGTTGAAAGCTACTTATTTTCTGGAGCTCATAATTTCCAGCATTGCGGATTTTATGATCAGTAGCGCAATTCCCAAAGAACTCCGGATTTATCTGAAGCTGAAGTAAATGCAAAGGACGATATTCTATCCCAGGAAGGACACCTGAGCATTCCTTTAAATATGTTGACCTATTTCTACCCGCATGCTTCTACCTCTCGCTGGATATCCTATGTTTGGTCATGTCCATTAACTTGTTCACCCCACCCCAAAAACAGAAAAGCTTGTTATCATGCCCGCAATTAGACCATAGGTAGAGAAAACGCGGAGCGACTAGGTAAACATTCCCATGGATAATAAGTTTTTCACGCATGATTTATTTGCTGTTTTTATAGCTTCATTCGTTGCTTCATTATATTGCTCGAAACCAGATTGTTTTTAAAGCGCATGATATTTGAAAGTTGTGTTAAGATGGAGCGAAAACCCCGGATTCGTCTCACCTTTTTCAGCGCCTCATAAGCCACACAAAGGTTTTAAAAAAATGCATTGAAATCGTATAGTTGGCTTGAAACGTCCGTTCGCAATTTCGTCCGTCAAAATATGTTCAATACGTCTAGAGATTTTAGCTAGATTAGAGATTTAGAGATTAGATTTAGTTAGATTTCAGTTAGCTTCAGATTATAGATTTCAGTTAGATAGAGATTAGACGGTTAGATCTATCAGTTAGATAGAATTCAGATTAGAGATTTCAGTTGCGTCGGTGAAACGCCAACCTTCCGCATAAACTTGCTATGTTCTCTCATGCGTTAAGCTCTGGAAGAAGGCATCTCCGTTATCTTAGGTGATATCAATTCGTTACGGATTAAATTTCAGACTCGGATATTACCTGATGCCAGGTGTCTGCGGCTTTATAACGCATTCAGCTGCTGAGACTGCGTGGCCAACTGAATTCAGACACGTATCCATGCATATTTGCATTAAAATGGTTTTCAGCAATGTACATGTAATGCACTTTTTATGTGAAAGCTGGATGAGCCACCCTACAAAAATGCATGCCTTCAAAGCTTATTTCACTGTTCAGTTTTGCAAACGAAGCGACTCGATCACAGATTCAGTACTGTAATACCTGTTATTCAGTATTGTAACATCCGTGCTATCTGTTCCAGATCCACCACTGTGGAACACTGACGGAACCGATCCGCCAGCAGCTGTCAGGGGCGCTGACCGTGGTGCCCGACCCGGTCAAACCTGGCCCGCGGGTCACCGGGCTGGTGCAGTGAACGGCGTCTTCCAGCGCGCGGGTCACCGCGCTAGTCCGGGGACCTTGGTCGCCGATCTGGCTCAGGAGCCCGGGTTATGACCTGGCGAGGCGCTGGCGCTGGGTGTGTGCTATGAGGATGGGTGTGTACATCGGCTCAGCCCAGGCCCTGGCTGCGGAGATGGCCGGTCCTCCGGGCGATGGTCGTCTGGCTGAGGGCAATAATTTAGACCAGCCCAGCCGGTATGCTCGCTGGCTGGCCTCGCTCAGCTGATGGTCAGATCTCCACACAAACGGATGGGTAGGGGCTGTAAACCAGGCGCTTAGCAACTCTGAATATTTTACACTGGTGCTGCGCTTTTTTGGGTTGTTTTGTATTGTTTTTTTTGGGGGGGGGCGTTCTGGCACGAACATCGTGAGGGCCAGAAACGAACATAAACACGTGGGCAAAGGTGGGCACGTGGGCATAACCACGTGGCACGTGCATATCGGTTATGGGGCATAGGAACGGGTTTGCCATGGATGACCTCGGTCAGCCCGTAAACCTTAGCCGCAACCTTCTCTAGCAGCATCGCGCCGCTGCGCAAGAATCGCTTATTGACTTTTCGGGGCTTCCTACGCCCGATAGGTCGAGCCGATCACCGATAGGTCACAACCCGTCCAACTAAGTAAGCAGGTGGGCGGTGACCATGCAAAATAGCCCCGGTCCCAAAGGCGACATTTTCCGTCTGCATATTGTCTACGGTTTGTATACGGGTAAGTGCATGGCACCAATCAAATTAAACCCTCCCCTTGCATAGGAGGAGCCGTCAGGATTTTCTTAAGTGGACGGGGAAGGGGGAGCCTGGTCAGTGCGCATTACGTCAATTTTTAGATCACCGTCTGGAAAAATCTATGATAAAAAGCGATAAAAATCCAGGCCTGAGGGAAGAGCTGCCTCCCCCTCTTCCCCCCCCCCCCCCCCGTCTCAGCTGTGTCACTGCCGCGTAGGATGTAGACTCTGCCCACTGAGTAGCAGAAAAAGAACAGCAAAGTGAACGACATGAGTGGGGTAGGACATCGACATTCTGTGCACATCCAAATCAATGTGCAGATCGCAGGGGAATACAAGCTTCCAGTGTGTACAAGCAAGCTGCCAACGCCATTAGCCAGGCTGCCTTCGTAACGCCGCAGGTGTGGCGGTCTTCCTAATGTCTTTCAAATAATCAGTGCCAGCTTGACGTTAACGATTTTTAAAAGCATTTTGAACATCTCCGAGTGAAGATTTCACGGCATTTTCAAAAACCTTTTGAACAGGGCTCTGAGATGAATAACGCAGCCCGATGACGGGGTTAGGAGGGAGGGGTTATGGGCTGGCAGCGGACAGCGACAACTGCAAAAATCAACTCAAATATTATGCTTTTTCTTGCTTTTCCTGTCATGAAATGAAACGCCATGCGGTGGCCAGCAGATTACCCCGAATTAATGGGGATCGTGCAAAATGACTGGAATGTAGAAGCGAAAATACATGTCGACCGCAGATCATCCGTCGCGTTTGTTGTGTCCCCCGTTATCCCACCCTGATGACCTCTCTGTCGTCCCCGCCGAGCACTTCCTGAGCGCGCTAACGACGCCAACTGACGGCCGCGGCTGGAGTCATCTGGCTTCTGGAATGCGGTGGGCGGACGCGCGAGTCATGCCTGGTATATGATCACTTAAATAAGTAGACCAGAGCCCGGAAAGATGCACCCGCCTTGATAAGGATCTTACCTTCACCCGACCCAACACTGCTAATGCTTTTATTTCAACCTGTATGCAGAATCGATTAAGAAATTGCAGTCAGATTATATGCCTCGGGTCATGTCGCGCACCAGGACGCAGTTACCATAGGGAATGTTGGGAACGCATCCCCTACAACTTTCAGAACAGGAGGACCCCTTCAACCTTAGTGAATCAAAAGTATCGGACGCAAGCCCACGCGTCCCGGCGAAGCCCTTCCGATGCCTTCTCTCCCGAAGCTCCGGGAGACGGCATGGTGAACGAGTTGGTGCCCGGGTAGCCGATCTGCCCTGGTATACTCCCCACAGTGTTATCCATGCAGATTGGTTACTTTACAATGCATAATCACGGACTACTTCGTACGTACTTTTGTCAAATGAGCTATATCCTTTACGAGCACTTGCCTGCGTGCAATTATTTGGGAACAATCGCGTACGTTCATTACGCTTGCGAACGTTTTCATATGAGCCTTTATTCCAAAACCTTGCGCGATTCCAGTGCGTCTATCGGCCGGAGGTTCTCTGGCCACAGCATGTGGTCGGGCACTCGGCAACCGACGGGGTCACGACCCTGGAATGAAGCAACTCGACTAACATAAGCACAAGCCATCGGATTGGCACACATCCGATCCAGCGGACTGCTGGCCACACGCTGTCGAGCGCAACGCAGTTTGACTAAATCCCACATATCACATGGCGTGTCAATAACTGTTAGGGGCCTGATCGTCTGATTTAGTTCACAGTGGCCGGTAATGAGCGTCCCCGGGACTCTCAAGCATTTATCGCAAGAACTGGAGTTGCCGAACGCCGCTGCCTACCTGAAGCTGAACAATGAAAGTTCAAAAAAGCAATCAATAGCCATGGTCGAATTCGCCAAGGAATGGACAGGTGGGCGGCAGCCACATGCCTAATGACGTCACATGTGGTGCTAAACATCACACACTCGGCGCACAGTCCCGTTCAGACTTTTCGGAGTAGCGCTCTGTAAAACACGAATGCTGTGTAGTACACACGCCAACGAATACTGAGAACAGCGATACTGTATAGGCTTACCTTCAGAATCAAATGTATATATCACAACGTCTTTGCTTTATACAACCAACACTATATATATATATATATATATATATATATATATATATATATATATATATATACATATATACATAGGCACTTAGTATGAGGATGCATCAATGTCGCACGACAGCACGGATTCTATGCAAATTGTTTGCCAAACCCCAATGCGCATCTGGTAAGCATGGCTTCTAGTCACAGGTGCCATACTAGGACACAAATACCCACACATGGAGCGGGCCCTCACGTCACTTTTCCGGCTTGATGCAGAACACTAGCCAGCACTGATACAACCAAATATATTATATACCATAAACATTCACAATGTTCGACACATGCGGATATGAACCAGTCTCTACGTTCAGCTGAGCCCACAGAAGATCCACAAGGCAAGTATTCATCAACACCTTTTTTCCACACCTTTCAGCTGGATGTACAAATAAGTAACCATTTGCTTATTACTGTGTGGCGTCTTAAGTATGCACTGGCCGAACGAAGATGCGCTAAGCTTTTTAGTGGAAATGACGAGTATGATGCTGTCATAAAATACTTCAATAACTTGACCACAATCCATTCCTACTATGCCAGACCAATGGCAGCACCAGCAACCGTAAACCAACATCAACGCCCACCAAGGATAGCCATAATAATAATGCGTAATGCGAGGCTAATGAATAATATACAGTGATACATCACATGAACATGACACGTTTCAAACATCGCTGAACGGCACGTGTCTGCAGCGGCGCCACACACCCACGGGGCACAGGCAGCGGCGATGGGCGGCCCCCGGACGCCGGCCACTCTGGGCCGCTGACGGCGCCGCCCCGTCCGACCCCCAGGCGCACCACCCGTGAGCTCAACAGTGGCGGCGCGACACACGCACTTATTCGAAACACGTACAGGCATGAGTGTGCATACGAGGGAGACAACGGGGCATGTGCCCCCCAAAATTAACCAAGTACGATGTCGTCCCTTTACTCTACCCCGTGCAATGCCCGTTTCCCCATCCAAAATACTATGTCAGGTCAGGATGTTCCACACATTCCAGTCCGGTCGTTTCAATGATGTGGTTCGGCCCAGGTGTGCAGAGCGTCTGATCTGGTTCTGGGTTAAATCTGATCCGAAGATCAGAATAATACTATTTTGGACTTATTTTTTAGGTCGCCGCTCACGCGTGGAACAGTGGAAACTCACTCACACCGGTTACAACGGGCACAAACCATTTTTAACTGGAATATGCTGCCTAGGATGTCGGCTACGGCACATAACAAAACGTGCCGACAAGACTACCAGGGCATCAGTTGAGAACCTGCCCGTCAGCCCACCTCGGCCGAGGTCTGGGCGCTGGATGACGCAAGAAACTGTTACAAAACTGAAACAGAGGGGACAAATGTCCCGGCTTTGGAAACCAACTGCACCCTAGGCATCACCGAACAGAGCGTTCAGCTTTCAGATCGCACGTTTCATGTTTGCCGCCCAAACGTTTCATGTTTGCCGCCCATTCCCCGCCGGAAGCCCCACGAGCCACGCGCGCCTATGTTTATCTGAAGGAACGCCTCGCAGGCTGACCAGAGGTCGCCTATCACCAGTGACATCAGACAACATAAACAGGGCGGGGGGCGACGCACGGCGATACACAGCGTGCGAAGATCCCGCAGCGCCCGGCGCGCCGGGAGGTGTGTCGAATGACACACGCAGCCGTTCGCCAAGCCCCCTCCCCTCCCCGGGTAACCGTCCCGACGGCGCCGCCCATCGGCGGCGAACGTAGGCGATCCCGTATACCCCGCGAGCAGCCGCCAGCGGCCGCGGCACCACGCGTCGTTGGAGTTCACGATCAGTCCCGCTCGTTCCCTGCCCATTGCCCACGTCCCTTCTACTGGCGCTCCGGCGTCCTCAGAAGCTGCGACTTCCGCCGTGGCGCCGGCAGGGTTTCCTTCGCGCCTGACCTGGCGCGGTCGCGTCCGGACCACCGTTGGGGTAGCGGCCCGCCGGACCGGGTCCATCGCACGCGGGCGGACCGCAACGCCGTCTCCCGAGCGGCCCAGGCCAGCAACCCAGCGCCGACCGGCCCCGCTCCGCGCCGCCCGGCTCCCAGCAAACGTCACGCGCCGCACGCCGGAGCCTGTCCAGAGCACCGGCCGGCCTCCACGCGGCCGCCACCGCAGCCCCGGCCCGACGCGGCGCACAGAGGCCCCGGCCACGCTAGTTGAGCATGGTGCGGCGCACGTAGATGTTGTTGCGCTGTTCCTGCACCTGGCGCTTCCAGCGGTCCTGCCGGTTGCCGACGCGGTTGAGCACGCTGCCCTGCTCGTACAGCGGCTGCGCCATCCGGCCGCTCAACTCGTCCTGGAACGGCGCAGGCGCGTCAGCTGACGGCTCGGCGGCGCGACCCTGAGCAGACGGGTCACGGACGAGGTCCAGCGCAGACGGTCAGGGACGAGGTCCAGCGTAGACGGGTCAGGGTCATGCACACACTGGGCATGTACGAGGTCCGTGACAGTTCAATACAATGAACATGCACAGTATATTTCGACCAGTTCACTTTGATAAAGTATCTCGTATGTCCCCAATTCTGCGAAACTGCCATATCAGTCGAAGCGCCGCTCAGTTCAACAAGTCATTATCTCCCAAACCACAGATCCCAGATGAGCTTGCGTGACGTGTTTAAATAAACAGACCGTCTTTTGGAAAGGTTCAAGTGTTGTACATGTAGAGCTGAAACTACGCCTGTGTAATTCGATCTCATACACAAGATGACGTCTTCATGGTCTGGGGAAGGACGCCGGGCCGTTATGAGGCGGCACTGGATACTAGCCGCGAAGCGGATTGGTCACCTGACCCGGCAGACACAGAAAGGTCAGCTGACAACCAGCCAATGAGAGCGGCTGCCCTGCAACGTTACATAATACCTAAGATCCATCCGCATTCCTATCTGGCAAAAGAGCGGGGGCGACGCCATCGTTTGGGCTCGACAACACAGCTCGCATGGTGGACAGGGGCTGCAGATAAGGGGGGGGGGGGGCAGGAGGGGCTGTCCCCTCCCCCGCCCCAAGTCCGGGCAACATTTAGCGTTAGCCCTAAGACGGCGCATGGAGGGAAGCAAGATTGGGTGTTTGCCCTCCATCTCCACAGAGGCTCCGTCTACACGGTATGTGTGTTCATGATACACGCCACACCACAAATTGAAGAAATGTTTGTCTCCCGCAGACTTACTCCAGCACCCAGCCACGGCCTATGGCGCCGACTCACTGCTTCCAGGGCTCACTTTGACTCCCGCTCAGAACAGAGCAGTACAACTCCCGGACCCGGTTCAACAGAGTTGAACCGGGTCCCGACTCCAGGATGCATGGTTCTTCTCCACAATCGATTCCGATGGAGTCAATTCTGATAGCAGCTACTGAGCCAAACCATTATATCACCAAAGGAATGTCCTGGCCTGAAGCCAACGTAGGAGATACATTGTAACGGAGCAGCTATGGGCAGGTATGGTTCATTTGGTCGACACATCGGCCGCGCGCTTTTAATGGATGTCATTGCTTACATTTCCATTTAACCCGACCCACCGATGATTTGGCTGACTCAGCCCTGACCTTGAATCACAACAAATGCTCAAAGGAATGAATTTAACCTGACTCGCGACACCTGGTCACACCGAACTCCGTTCCGATTGGCAATGGTGTCGAGCACAAACCGGCTACGTACATTCCTTTCCGGCCTACAGCTGATTTTTTTCACATTCGTAGGGCGCTGCCGTAAGTTCCGATGCATATGGAAGCACAATTACAATTAAGCGTAGTTGATTTGCCGCAAAGTGCGCCGTAAGCTACACACCCCTGTCATCATGAGGGATACACGCACCCAAGCGGTACACAAAGCCAGACGACGACCCTAAGCGTAAACTATTTCATACAATCTGGTGATTACGTATGCCAGCCATTACAGGCCACAGTTATACGCCCCACTTTGTCTGGGCCCAAAGGTCGTCGTTGTTGGGGCTTTACGACGCACTCAGCTGCTAAGACTATGTGGCGTCGTCTGCTTTTCATCCTAGCGGGAAGGGCGGGTACCGCAGAAAATCGAAACCGTTCCTCTGGTTTTCCAGAAGTGCATCTAAGCTCCTTGACTGTTGGAACCCTCTGGCAGTGATCCAATAATTTACATAATTTACCTTAACTGTCCCTATTTCAGTTGTATCCGTATAAAGCTCTCCGCAGTCCTGTACGGCGAAAATATGGGGACAAAACTATCCATTGAACCAAACAACACAACTCGGTTGGTAGGTTCAAGGCAAACACAGCAAGCTATGCTCCAGGTGCTCTGAACCCAAAGCCACTCATGCAAATCATTCGGAACAACTTTTACAAAATATGTTCTGGGACTCCAGTTTTGTGCACAAACTTTCACAGCACGTGGTGTTTCCACCTAAACCACAACTCTTAAAATGCAGTATCACTTAACATGCCTTACAGGGAGGCAGCCAGGATAGTCGTTAAGGAGAGGCGAGGGGCAAAGTTCGGCGAGAACGTAGCACGCTGATAATTAACCTTCTGTCAGAAGCCATCCATGGTGAGAAATGAAAAACGTGAGTATCATGAGGTGAGGGGGGGGAGGCAGACTTTCTCCCTTTTGCCTGCGCCTATTCGCCCCTTTAATAGCGCTAGCCGCTCCTAATGGACAACAGTAACAGAGTACCCTTGTGTAGGGAATTCGACAACTACGCCAGAATCCACCGCAGTGCAGCAAAGACATGGGCGTCGCTTGTATCGCTAACCTTACATAGTTCGCATGGGAGGCTGTATCATAAGTCCCACTCTACGTGGGAGCGTTTTACCAGTCTGAGGGCGAGTTCCGCGTGTGCACGCGGCGCCTGTATGGACGGATCGGCTGGACGGGCCTCACACTCGTTCGTTGGTCTGTTCCTGATTAAGTGGATGTGCGCACGCGCTTGTTCAGGATGGGATCCAGGCAGCCTGAGGAACGTCATGTAGATCCACCAGCACCGAGATGATGCATATGATCTGGATGAACGACCACCTGCCGGCAGGAGTGCGGGAGTGCGCCACGTTAGGCAGACAGGGGCCAAACGAACCGGCACCCAAGCGAGCGCAGCATACCGTACAGTACCTCACGAATAGAAGCGTTAGGGCACAGCGAAAACGATGGGTGTTGGGATGATGTTGTGGTGTTCGGATTACGTATGACGCACACAGATGATATCGCCATGGTTGCTTATCGCTCGTTGCATAACTTCTTCAAGCATTGCATGATCGTGAGCATGAAAATTGAGCACTCCTGCATCCACATCCATCACCGACCACGTATGCGTTATGTCAAATGTGACGCAATATAAATCCTAGTCGGACAAACTCATGACAATAGGATGAATCACGACGCACGAGCAGAGCGAGGTGGCGATCTGTACAGGCGCTTCCCGCGCGTTTCATACGCGAACTAATTACAGAGCAAACAACTGGTCAGAGACGGTTTAAAAGATAGGCAGACACAGACCTTGATCGTGGTGGTATTCCTGCTTTCAAACTTGCATTCACAAAGCGGACAGAATTCACGACTTTTCGAGAAATTCGCAGGCAGCTCCGGCAGAATCACATTGTCACAATTGCTGAAACACGACACATCTGACGTGAACCAATTTTCTGGCGACAGCATGGCAGAATATAATTATGTGCTTTAAGTGCAGAGAATTTCAATCTTTGGGTAACAATATGCTCCACACAGAATGGTCCCATACATGCTATATTCCATATGTTTCCAAAATTTAGAAAATAACATACTACTAATTGTAACACACAGCAGGGTGTACTACAATCAAAAGCAATTTGTTTCTTCAAGATACAACATGAGATCATGAAATCAAGGCACAAGACCACCAAATCATATGGAAATTATACACAGCATTCACCACTGCCAACAAGGCAGGACTGGTGGTGCATACAAAAATCAGCATTTTTCAAACAAGTTTGCATTGAAGCACAGCTCTTCATGGACCATTTTTACACACCCTAGAACACTAACACATAAAAGATTCTGTCCATTGCCACATAAAGGATAATTGGAACATATCTGGTAAAATATGCTTACCACAGATTTGGAGCCACATTGGCAATGTAGAGTTTTCTGTCAGATGATGACCCATTAACAACATTTGGGTTGGGACAAACACACTTACATCTCACATCTTCATAGAGGGCCTGAAAGAGATCAAAAGTGCCAAAATCAACCTTAACTTGCACTGGTATGTTGTAAAGAACTATGAAGAATAACTTGACATATGAATACAATGCAGAGGGAGCTACAATCTTAAACATAACAAACATAAAAAAGCAAAGATCAAACACTTGGACCGACTATGGGCCGAAATAATTGATCAAACTAATCATCCTCGCCTGGCATTTTAGTTGCCCACTTTGTTTTGGCCAGTTGCTTCTTTCAGACAGCATCAGGTGTTGTTGATGCATGTAAAGGACTGGGTGGTACTGACGTTGAAGTCATGCATGCATAATGACCCACGTCTTGTACTTGGAATTGATGGGAGCCGAGCCGGGGTATGCTGATTATGAGTCCAACATTCTACCACTGAACTGACTGGGAATGTCTCTCAGCCCAGCAGTAGAACTCTAGACTCCAGAAGACTGCCAGCTTAATGGTAGAATGCTGGACACATAATCAGAATATCCTGATCCAAAGCTCTGCAACTGCAAGAAGAGTTTGGGTTATGATGTCTACAGTACTGAAAACCAAACTTCATCCCATCCTTCCAGGAGTCAACACCTGACAAAGGCCAAGAACTAACAAACTGAAGGATTAAGCAGATACTTAGTGACCAGGCCAGGATGACTCTCAAAGAAATAATCCATCTGCAAAACTAATATCTTGTTTCATATATGTTGTAAAGCTGGGTCATCAAGCAGCATAATTTAGTTGTAGATGACCAATATATATATATATATATATATATATATATATATATATATATATATATATATATCACAAATTGATAAATAGCTAGTGTAATGTAAGAGTACTCACCTCAGTATCATGGATAGTAAAAGAGGCAACAATGATCAAGAGAGCTGAGAACATTGCAGCAGAATGCATCTTGGATGTACCACTGTGCCTGAAAACAGACAAAACATTGAGGGATATGCACTTGCACATAATGTTTAACACTAGTATGTCAACATGAGCTAGATGTAACCACAATTTGGGTAAAAAATAATGAAATCACACGCATATAACAATCATATAACACACTATTAAGACCATAATGTCCATATTTATCAAGCTTCTGAGATTCTGGGAAACCTGTTTCAAAATGTCACAGTGGATAACATGAGATCTCTGCTTTCAGGCCACATTAAATGGGCTGTCACTTGTGCAACACAATGTCATTCCATTTTTAGTGCTGTTTGTGCTGTTTTTGTTCTTTTATTTCAGATCACTGCCAACAAGAAGTCATCAGCTCCATCCATCCAATATGTACTGGTGCCCTGGAGTATTGTTAAGTTCATTCCAAGCATGTTACCTTGTTGCTCACAATCAAGCTTTAGCACCTCAACAATGCATTAATGTTGCCTAAATCCTGCATGATGCTTCTAAGCCTGTGTTCAGTTTAATGCAGATTCAGGTTCACATACTTGCAAATCAATGGCCATGCTGGGTGAAATCTGGCTTATGAATGGGCTGTATATGTTTTTTAATTGGAGTATGGCATGGTCCACTATGATAATCAGTTGATTATGGTGAAGAGATGATGGGCATGTGCAATTGATGAATGTCTTTGGGATACAACTTTGGCTCATTATCAGCATCACATGTGGTGCCATAAATGAAACATTGCCACCAGTGAGTCCTGACACCCACCATCCCACAGTGAAATTCCAGGTTAACAGCAAAATTTGGCACTAAAAGCAGAATGTGCAGCAATGCTTGGACACTCTGCAAACCATGGTCAAGATATGAACAACATGCTTGGGGCAGATAGAATATTGTCTCAAATATAGTAGTAAGCTGTCCCACTTGGATCAGATTTTGTTGATCTTTCACATCCACAAAGACATGCTATATCATCAGATTTAGTCAGTATCTATGATCTTATCAGCTTTTTTATATAAAACACAACATTTCTGTCATCAAATTTGGGTAGGCTATCCCAAGTGGAAGCTATGCATCACCTCTACACCAACAGGATCTTACTGAAATATGTCATGGTGTCCACACACAATGCTTGACAATGTGTGTCCTGCTCTCAGGCATCACCTGACCTTTAGTGCCAATGCAGCCACCATCCACAGGCCATACCAGTCAACACTGAAAAATGGATGCTTAAAGCAGCTCTAACCTACCCTTCCATGTGTTGGTGGACCAAAGCACAGACACACAAACTAACTGAGCCATGAGATGGATGCAAGGTTGAACAAAGGGATGGTGCTTCTGGCTTCTGATTCTCAATGGATAACAGATGACAATAAGTGCCACTTTAGAAGAAAAAGAATCCCTACCAGGTGGGTGAGCCAACTGAGTGTCATCAAAGATATAAAAATAATGTTATCAACTGAACTCTCAACTGAAAAGGACAAGGTGGGTGTAACAGGTATTCTCCCACTAAATGTCACTTGCTTATACAAATCTTAGCTTTAGAAAATGGTTTTAATACCTAGGTCAGACTGTACAAATGCATTGGCACCATGCCCAGCACAGCAGTGACTATATCAAATTTTTGGTGCATGCATGCCATGAATGTGAGCACTGGGTTTCCCACAGCTGACACCAATGTTGGTGCATAGTGCCAATGTTTCACAAAATGATGATGCTGAGAAGGTAATTACAGGCAAAAGTGTCATGGAACAGTTCTCCCCACAGGGAATATGAAAATTAATTCAGCACCACTTGGAATCACACAAGTTTAGTACATACACGCATGAGGCCAGGAGCACCTGAGTCATATAGGCATCCAGCACAGTGGATGGATTTTTGCAGCACTGGCATAGGCCCCAGTGACCTGACTAGCCTAGGGCTCTGTCTCCTGACTAGCCTGGGGCTCTGTCTCCTGACTAGCGTTGGGGCTCTGTCTCCCTGACTAGCCTGGGGCTCAGTGACCAGACTGTCCTACGGCCCAAAAATCGCACTGTTGTGGTTTTATGCTTACAGCCTATTATTATGGCTCTATTCAAAACATTTCTCGCTTGTCACGTCCACACGAGGTGCACCAGTTGCTCTAAGCTCCAAGGTACCCACCAAGATTTTACACGCAACGGTGCTACACGCAAGAGCACACAGTCCCCGCTCAGCACAGATTTTTAACCGCTGCGAACACAGCCACCAATTTTAGGCAAGCTCATTGTTTTTATTATGGAGTTTCGGAAATGTTGCAGCCTGCCATCCATGCGACTGCACCACATTTTGACGTCACTATAGGTTGCGAAGTGTCAAGTAAATCAAAGTACCCCAGGTCACTAGTCTGACTCACGAAGACCCTCAGGACATCTCCAGCCCTCTGGAGCCTGAATTAATTCGTGTTACACAGTGATTAGCCCATTTTAAACCATTTTAATCTCCCAGAGTCAATTATTGTGACGTCTTTTCATTTACTTTTGGTAGCAGATTACAAATGGCTTACCATTAGCGCCATTTATGTCTCTTCCATACCCCTGATGGCGCGAACGTTTGACGAAAGTGGTGTGCTGCTGAGCGATTTGGGGTGTGTGTGTGAGAGAGTTGGTGTTGTGAGGGGGTGTTGGTGTTGCTGTTTTTCAAGATTCGATGATATGATAATCAAGAGGAAATGATCCACAATGTTCATTTAGCCATTGCGCTGCTGTTCTGCCAGCGACTGTCCTTCCCTCACGTAACAGCGAAGCAAAGATTGGGAGGCACCGCAAGTTGGCGGGACTGCATTTGATAGGCATTAGGGCAATGGAGGGTTAAACTTCCAATTTGGTCCAGTTCCTCTGAATTTAAAAAAAGTGCTTGTGACAAAGAGCCATCTTTGGCTGAAAGAGCTTCCTAGGATCTGAGTTCATTCCTCCCTCCACTGTTCAAAAAGCTATGCAAAAGCTGGCCTATGCTACTGATCCTGCAACCTACCTGACATACAATGACCTGACTTATCAAACTTGTCAAACTTGTGTGGTACTTGTCTGCCTGGTTTGTTATTGATGTTCTGGGGTTTACCTAGCAGTGGGCCATTTTACACCAATTATGGTCTGATTCATGCATGTAAGGGTTGTTCTGGACTAAGCATAATTCATATCCATTCTCTGCTTTTAGATTGATTGCGGTTTGCCATTCACTTTACAATGCCAGATGGTGACTGCTTGGCCCACTGGCTAAAAACCAATGTGCTGCTTTTGGAGCCAGTGACAACAATGCACTAACTGCTGAGCTTGGTGCAATTGTCCTATAAACACTGCTTTGGTTAACTTTTATTGAATTTCAAAATGTTTGATTGTGAATAGCATTAATTGCTCTTACAGCCTCCAAATTATTTCAGACATGGAATATTCATACTTGCTATTAGTTGTGGCTGCTAACCTCGGGACATTGATAGCTTGGTGTGCATACTAGCAACAATTTAGCACAAAGTTTGCCCAGATGGTGCACATGTTTCACATCACATGTATTATTTGCATTTTGACCCCTGGCTTGGCAACTAGCTGAGAGATCTGCCTTTGCTAAGTGCGCTCTTGTATTTGTAAAGTGGCTGCACCCGTGTTCTTGCAGACTGATTATGCTGGATATTCAGTTATTCTTCTTTCTATGCCCACCTGACCTGGAGTAATTTCTAAGGTGGCTTGACATGTGCTCTTTAGGTCCAAGTTCTATCCTGCACCCATTCATATATCTTTATGCCTTGCTTTGGAATTGCGAGAGTACGATGAGAGAACAGGTTGCTGACAAAAGTGCCTTTTACAGATCCATCATGCCTGCAGAACTGGGCACAGAGGATGAATTTAGAATTCTAGTGGCAACAGATAATCACCTAGGGTACCAGGAGAAGCATGGAGAAAGAGGTATGACTTGAAGATACAATTTGGGGCTTGCAACTGAAATGCATAGTTTCCACAGTTTTTTGACATCTGTTTTTTTTCTTGGACCATTCATATTGTTAAGGTCATATATCTGCTTTCAGTGTGCATTAAACTAATCATGTCCTTGCTATTCACATCTTGCATCACGTCAGATTAAAGTCTGAGTAAAACATGTGCATATTGGTTTCAAAATAGCCATCAGCCCCCCCCCCATGTTCTTGGACATCTCTACATCTATGGAGAAAATTATATCTGTGGTTACTTGATTTCCAGGCAGTGACAGCATGACCACATTTGAAGAGATTCTGCAACTAGCCCATGAAAAAGAAGCAGATTTTATATTGCTTGGTGGGGATCTCTTTCATGAAAATAAGCCATCTCGAAACTGTGTGATACAATGTTCACAACTCCTAAAAAAGTATTGTCTTGGTGACAGGTAAGTAGCAAGTCTCTAAGAATATCCTGAACACATTTCCAATCTCAGGTCAGGTATTGGATAGATAACTATATTTCAAGCTGTCTCAATGGCAGGCAGTGACAATGCATAGTTTGTGGTAGACAGTATCCTAAACTGACCTTCATATGGGCCTCAAAACCATGTTGTTTGCACTCATGTTTGATTGGTAGTAGCCATTTGCTCTTCTGAAAAGGAAATGGTGCAATGCTGTTTAACATCCAATCTTAACATACAACATCCAATGTAACATTAATTTCCTACATCCAGCTTGCAATTCCTAACATGAACATACACCTGATTGCAAATAGCATCTGTCCTCATCTGCTCCCAACTCCTATCATGGTGCCTTTCCTCTGAAGACTAATGATGGCCTCTGATTGATTTCAGACCAGTAGCATTTGAATACCTGAGCGACCCCAGTCAGGATTTCTGCATGCAGGAGCCCCGGGTGAATTTTCACGACCCCAACCTTAACATCGCGATGCCCGTGTTCTCCATCCATGGCAACCACGACGACATCAGCGGTGGGTGAATATTGCTGGAGTCCACTATGCTTTGTATGACCTCATACATTTTGTTCATGATCACCTCGCCATCCAGTCTATTTGTGAAGGCTGCTACCGATTTTGGTCGTATGCTGAACTCTGGCCGTGAAGGGTCATTTTGTCATGAACTACGTTTTTATCTGGGACGGGACGTTTTTATCTGTTGTGTCATATTTTGTACCTTATCCTTTCTTAGCAAATGAGAGCCTGCAGTTGAAGCTGCTCCGCCACCCCAGGGCTGGGTGACACGGCCTCCCTTGAACTGCTCTCCGTGGCGGGACTCATCAGTTATAGCTGCTCCGCCACCCCAGGGCTAGGTGACACGGCGCCCTTGAACTGCTCTCCGTGGCGGGACTCATCAGTTATAGCTGCTCCACCACCCCAGGGCTGGGTGACACGGCTGCCCTTGAACTGCTCTCCGTGGCGGGACTCATCAACTACTTCGGCCGCTGGACCGACCTCAAGTCTGTCCGGCTGGCGCCCGTGCTGCTGCAGAAGGGCCAGACCAAGCTGGCGCTGTACGGGCTCGGCAACGTCCGGGACGAGCGGCTGCACCGCATCTTCACCGGCGGCAACGTGAGGGCCCGGCGGTGACCAGTCACGTGCTGAAACAGGGTTGACTGGGCTTTTCAGTCACGTGCCAGATAGGGCCCACCAGTCACGTGCCGAGACAGGGGTGACCAGTCACGTGCCGAGACAGGGGTGATCAGTCATGTGCCGAGACAGGGCTCACCAGTCACGTGCCGAGACAGGGGTGACCAGTCACGTGCCAAGACAGGAGTGATCAGTTACGTGCCGAGACGGGGCTCACCAGTCACGTGCCGAGGCAGGGGTGACCAGTCACGTGCTAAGACAGGGGTGATCAGTTACGGTGACCGTACGACACGGGTTCAACAGTTCACGTGCCGGGAGACATGGGTGACCAGATCACGTGCGGAGACGGAGCTCATGCCAGTCACGTGCGAAGACGGAGCCTCGCCAGTCACGTGCTGAGACGGAAGCTCACCAGTCACGTGCCATGACAGGGGGTGACCAGTCCACGTGCCGAGCCAGGGCTCATTCATTCAGGCGTAGCAAAGAAATATCGGCCTGCTCTGCCTTGTCAGTGAGTGTGTGTGAGTGAGCTCACCACTCACTGACAGCTGAGCTCTATCAACAAGTGAGCTCGTTGCAGCACGTCCTCGTCTATTGGAGGAACCACCACTGACGCGGCGGGTCCTGGTCTGTTCTAGGTTTCGTGATCTCCGTCCTAAAGAAGACACAGAAGAGCTGGTTTAATCTGTTCGTGCTGCAACCAAAACCGCGTGAAACACGGCCCCAAGAACTACATTCCGGTGGAGTTTCTGGACGACTTCCTCGACCTGGTGGTGTGGGGGGCACGAGCACGAGAACCGCCCTGCAGGCCCGAGTGGCAGGAGCGTCCGCAGCTGCTACATCTCGCAGCCCGGTGAGTCCGCGACAGGTCAGGTGGTCGGCCTCTTCTGAAACGTCCCGGTCGTCTGCGCGGCGGCGGCGGCGGCGGTCTGATGATGTGCGCTGGGCGCGCCCCCGAATGGGCCGCTGACTGCCGGCAGAGGATGATGGGTGCGCCGGCCGGGGCACCGGTGCCTCGCCTCCGTGGGCTGATCGACTTCAGAGGCGTGTGGGCAGTGCTAATCACGAACTGATGTGGTGGGTGGTGCTGGCTCGAGTTTGCTTCAATGTTCTTTCACAACTCAGTGTTATTGGTCCCTCACTGACGAGTTTCGTCTTTGTTAGGCTATTTTATGCGCGTCCATGCACTTTTTAGACATGCTGGTACTTTAACTTGCTGCAATTTCAAATTCCCCTCCGATCGATCTTTTACGATCTCCACGTCGCCGCGAGAATGGCACTGGTACGCTCCCGCACTAGCAGTTGTAACATTGAAACGCCCGGCTCGATCAGAGTGTTCCCACGCAGCCTGAAGCGAGCCGAGCGCGGTGGCCGCCACCGACCCTGCCGCCGTCAGCGCGACCTGACAGCGGGCGGCCGCGCGCGCGCAGGCAGCTCGGTGGCCACCTCGCTGTGCGACGCCGAGGCCAAGCCGAAGGCGGTCGGCCTGCTGACGGTGCGCGGCAAGGAGTTCCGCATGGAGTCCGTGCCGCTGCGCACGGTGCGGCCGTTCGTGTTTCGCACGCTGCGGCTTTCGGAGTGCGCCAGCCTCGACCTCACCGTGCGCGACGTGTCGGCGGCCGTGCAGCAGTACGTCGCCGCCTACGTGGACGACCTGCTGCTGGAGGCGGAGGAGCAGCTGACCGGTGCGTCTGGGCGACGGGAGGTCTCAGTGGTGGTGTGTGACGCGTCTCAGTGGCGTTGTGTGGCGCGTCTCAGTAGCCGTGCGTGGCGCGTCTCAGTGACCGTGTGTGACAGACTTGGGATGCGTCTCAGTGGCTGTGTGTGACGCGTCTCAGTGGCTGTGTGTGATGCGTCTCAGTGGCTGTGTGTGACGCCGGCAGGTCACGAGAAGCAGCCGCGCCGCCCGCTGGTGCGCCTGCGCGTGGAGTACTCGGATGAGAACCAGGTGTTCCAGGGCGTGCGCTTCGGCCAGAAGTACTCGGACCGGGTGGCTAATCCCGAGGACATGATCATGCTGAAGCGGGAGCGCACCGAGGCGGAGGCGCGCGCCGACGCCGTGGACGGCGGGGCGATGGCGGCCGTCGTGCAGCATGTAAGTGCTCACTGCCAAGTGCGCTGGCTGGGTCTGGACAGAAGCTTGCCGACAGTAGTATGACCTGCGGACAAAACGGGCGTGAGCCGCGTTGATAGGGATGTGTGAGAACTGTTTCCGCTGTGCCGCGTGAGTTCTTTTTATCGTCATCAGAAAGGGGTGGCGTGTATATATTGCTTCATTCTTACCCTGACTTAGCATTGACACAAGCGCCACGTTTATGGTCTTGTAGTCCTTTTTTTGCACACTTGCCATTTGATCAATTTCGCCACAGGACGAGAGCGTTGTCGCCACGACTGGACCATGGGGCTGTTGTTATTCTCACTGTGCGCGTCTGTCAGGAGGAGATGCGGGTCGAAGATTTCGTGGTGCAGTACTTCGCGCAGCTGGAGGAGGGTGCCGGACTGCACGTGCTGGATGAGCGAAAGATGGGCGTGGCTGTCAATCGCTTCGTCCTCAAGCAGGAGATTGGTGCAATCAGCGACGTTGTGAAGTAAGTAGTGCTCACTGGTGCTGCTGTGAGGCGGTCATTTGCAGACTGCCGATTCTCCCCAGACAGTGCAAATTACTGGATCCAGCAGTGTTACTGGTAGCTGCTGGATCAGTGCTTGCGAGTCTGTTGGCCTGACCACGCGGGCCTCGTGCGGTGTTCAATCCTGTAGTCTTTCTGACAGTCACTTTGTAACATTTGGAGTTCAGCTTACCAGCCCAGGTCCTGTGTGGTGCCGTGTTCCGTGCCCGGCTGCCTTTGAGAGCTGTCAGCAATTGCCTCTGTGTTATTACAAGGTGCCGACCGCAAACAGCTCCAGCTAAGACACGAATGGCTCTCGTCGGCCGACGACGACGCTGTACGCTCGTGATTTTTTACGAGACATAGGTAAAGCCGTGTTTGTCGCCATGTGGGTCGTGTCAGCAGTGCTGGATGCGCCCGATTCGCGCTCACTTGGTTCTCGATCGAACGTATGTGCTGGCGACCGAGAGGTGCTACGATTGGCATGGCCGCTAAGCGGCAGAGCCCAAAGACTGCCGGCGAAGGCGAGGCATGTCAGGGACGGCCGCCCGCTGCCGCAGGCACCAGATCAAGAGGGCGGTGGCCGAGCTGCAGGCGCGCAGCCCGCTCGAAGTCAGCGAGGCGAACGCGCGGGAGGAGCTGGCCAGGGCCCGCGAGGAGCGCGCGCAGAAGAAGCTGGAGAAGATGAACGGCAGTGGAGCCACCGCCGCCACCGCCGCCACCGCCGACAAGCTCAGGGCGGATTCGGACGAAGAGGAGGAAGAGGTGAACACGGCGTCGCAACATGAAGCACGTACAGACATGTCGGCCGGGTGGCGTACCAAAGCACGGTGAAGCGATGGGGTGAACGTTTGCGAGTCCCGTCAAGATCATTGTGGTACGCGTCTTCACGGAGCTGTTCGCTCTGTGGCGGCGTGCGCCACTGCACTGTCGGCGTTCGTTACGTGGTCCTACGTTCGCTTAGTGTATGATCAAGGGTGCGGTAGCGTTATGGTGCGCCTTTGATGATTATTATGACTGTTATGGTGAGAGGACTGTTATGACGTCAACGTCATAACAGTCCTCTCACAGTCGCAGTCAACCAAAAAAAAAAACATTGTATGATTCCATGAGAAATTTGGAAATGGCGGATTCTACCGTCGTTCTGCATCAATCGTCGTTCAAAAGATGTTCCGTTCCTGAGTCTTGGCGTCGTCCCTGAAATCATGCTCCGTGGACAGCAGTTCCATCTGGCTGGGACCATGTGTGGGGTGAGCGCTGTGCCGTGCCCAGCGCTATGAGCGGCGTCTCCAGTGTACGAAGTGCTGTGCTGGCGCCAGCCGGTGACTGGCCGACGGTGTCCGACAGATGCGCGGCGTGCTAGAGGGCGGCTCTCCGCCGCCGCCGCCGCTGCCGGACGTCGCTGCCGTCACCATCATCTCCGACTCTGACTCGGACGACGTGATGATGCCGGACGACCCACCAGGTACGGGACGGCAGGCGCCGGTCGCGACGCTGGCACGATGCCGGGGTCAGGCGTGGCTCCGGACACTGCGGAGGTCACGACAGGGGGGGAGGGGGTGCACCCGCCAACGATAGACACGAGCCACGTGACTAGTAGGTGTGCATCAACGATCATCACACCTGGTAGGAAACGCATGGACACGGCGGGTGTCACATTTGCGCTATGGCCCATGCCCCAGCGCAGCGCTGTGGCCGGTATCCCAGCGTTGTGGTTCGTGTTCCAACGCTGTGGCCCCTCTCCCAGCACTGTAGCCCGTGTCCCAGCATTGCGGCCCCTCTCCCAGCGCTGTGGCCCGTGTCCCAGCGCTTGACCCGTCTCGCAGCGCTTTGGCCCGTCTCCCAGCGCCGTGGCCGGTACCCCAGCGCTGTGGCTCGTGTCCCAGCGCTGTGGCTGTTATTGGGCGCTGTGGCCCGCATCGCGGCGCTGTGTACAGCGCCCCTGTCTACCTCACCAGCCTATGCCATGTTGCAGCGGAGAGCGCGACTGGCGGCGGGCGGCGGGCTGGAGCGCGAGCGGCGCGGGGCGGCCGCGGCCGCGCCGGTCGCGGCGCCGGCGACGGACGTCCCGCACCCCGCGGGCGTGGACGGGGACGCGGCCGCGCCGCTGCCAGCAAGGTGCGGGTCGGACACGACAGGCCGGCTCTGCTGGCGTCTGGCAGGCGTGGCCCGCCACCGCAGAAAGGGCGCGGGGAACGCGGTGTATGAGGCATCTGAGCACTATGTCCCGTCTTTGTGCGCTGTCGTGACCCGTTATCATGATTGGATATGCTGGACTTTTAGCACACGCCCGGGTGGCGGGTTGGATACACTTCGCTTAGGTGAGGGCCCTGACCCTGCTGAGATCTCAGAAACTAAGTGTGCTAAGACACCAGATTTACGGGGTGTGTTGGCCTGTACGTGAACTCACGTGGGTCGAAGTTTGAGGTTCCTAGGTCATGGCTTTGGGGTCGAATAAGATCAAACAAGGTCAAACCGCAATTTGGCGTCTAAAGTGCAGCCAGAAGTTAGACACCTGTTCCAGGCAAAAGGTCGCACGCTTATTTAACTTCATTGGCCTTTTTCGACCTTTCAAAGGTCACGGTGACCAAACTCATGCAAGACTGCTTTGATTTTTGCATTTAAATAAGCGACAGAAATTATGCTGGGCAGTATGTTCCCAAGACAAAATGTTGACCTGGGTTATTTTGGGTCGGTGGCCTGCTCTGACCTATAAGAAGTCTATGGAAGATGTATAATGCGGTTCCTGTTATCAGTAAATTCGAAACGAGCGCCAGAAGCCTCCTGTCACAGCAAGTCCTAAAGCAATAAGACAGGTTGTTTTTGACCCCGGTATAACCTTCATACCTGACTTAAGGCAATGGAATTTGTGCATTTAATTTTTGTGTTGCCTAAGGGAGTATGTCAGTGATGTATCACTTCGTCTGACACTTCATTGTTGCATCAGATTGAACGATTCCCTAGCATTGACTTCGCTGAATTCATAGCCCGACTTAAACCTTCCGTAGGTCAGCGACCTTGTAAGATACATCTAAATTTCTGATACCAAACGATCTGCTATTCATTTGTCCAAACCTATGCCAAATTTGGCGTGGCTACGCCATGCCGTTTGGAAACCATTCCTGAAAACCTTCGAGGGGGTCACATTGGCCCCAGCCGAGCGCGTGTTAACACTAGCTCGTGTTTGTGCATGCGGTGACGGTACTGGCTGGACGTGAGAGCCGTGGCACCAGAGACCCAGAGTCATGACCTGTATTGCTGTGTACCGCTGGGTGAGCGGCAGCATGCGCGAGTCCCCCCATGCGCCGCGTTTTCGTGACCTTCATCGGCGATCACACTCCACCTCCCTGTTCAGGTGAGTCCGGTGCCTGCCGATCGCCTTGACCTGGTGCGTGCGGCAGCGAGACCGTCATGACGCAGTGTACAGCGCGTCGCGCCTCGCTCCCACGATATTGTCGCAGTCTCGGTGACCGTGTGCGCATATGTGACGGCAGGGCCTGGTGCCCATCACGGCGGCGTTCGCGGCGGCGCCGCGGCCGTCGCGGACCAGCAGCGGCTCGTCCCAGTCTGGCACCCGCACCTCGTCCCAGTCTGGCACCCGCACCTCGTCCAGACCGACCCGCCGCAGGGGCGTGCTGTTCGACAGTGACTGAGTGACGGCGGCCCGCTTCTCCCCATTAGTGGTGAACTCGCTCTCATTATCGCACGGCCAACTCATTCCCAGGCATTGCCGTCCGCCTGGCTTGTGGGCCGCAGTTGAGGGCGACCATGTGATGGTTGAGATGCACTTTGTGATAGCCCAAATGGCCTATGGCATGAAGACACAGCTGAAGTGGCGCAGCTCACGGGTCGTGAGCCATCTGCGTTTTTACAAACGAATGGCTTTTAATAAATTATAGCCAGTTGTTTGTCAGGTGTGGTGCCGGTGAACACGCGGAACGACCAACGTGATCTCATGTTTGGCGCCGTGCACGGCTCCCTAGCATAGTTTACGCGGAATCACACACTGGAATGTCCACAGTACTCTATTTCTCACCAGGCATGGGAGCACACCACCTCGGGGGTCTCCGAGTTCCTCAATCACACACCGGCGCGGCCCGGCGCGTCACTATGTACAATACGGGGGTGCGGCGCCGTCGTCTAGATGATGATCCTCGTGTCTCCCAGCTCCTCATCTGACGGAAGCTCAATCTTGGCCGGGTCCACCAGGTTGGGGTCAAGCAGCGGCAGGCCTGCAGACTCACGGGCGTGGATCTGCAGGAATGCCTCCCGATGTGCCCAGTCCAGGCCCCTGACAAAGTGGTATGCTTGTTCAGCTCACCAAGGACACTGTGTGATGTTCACATGGCTTTGACAGGGGGATTGTGGCTGGTATTCATCATCCAATATGGCTGAAGAAAAAAGAAGAAGAAAAATTCTAAAGACATTTCATCCCATACCTGGATATTTCCATAGGGACATCACACTCCAGAAAGTAACGAATAATATAGAATCATAATAGATAGCTGTTGCACACTAGCCACAACTAATTCTGTTTGCCCAAATCTGCAGTGAACCATTAATATATTGCTGAGTAAAAGCAGAGGGACAGGCTGACAAACTGAGCTGCAGGTTTCACACATGCATGCCATACACAATACTTTGACTTTTCTGCAAAAACATGTCACTTGTGCTGCCCTTCCCCATGCCTCTCTACCCAGTTAGTCTCATGCAGTGGCCTTTAATATAATGTTAAAATTCATAGGCGAACATGGAACCACTGCACTACCACATATCATCATGGTAGACTGCTGTACAATGTTCTAAATACCTAGGGTCAGGCAAATATGCCCAGATGAAGCTGCATAGCACAACACCACAGCTAATTGAGATGAAGAACATATAGTGCATCAGCCTTCTATCTTCTGCTTCACTCTCAATGCTCCAGCCAAAGCTCTGCCATTGCTGAAAAACAACATATCAGGGATTACTTAGGTGCTTGAAAAATGACTTCTAAAAACAGGCCTTATCAGCAAGTATAGATTTGGTAATTTCTAATATTTACTACATTTCAGTTGTGATTTTATCAGATAAAACATGAGAGAAATTATCATCATTAATGAGTCTACAGCCTGGCTTTTTATGATCAAAAATGCTACAAGAAATACAGGAAACGCCACCCAAAATTCCTGCAGGGGCAATTAAGTCCAGCTAAAAGCTGAGCTTGCACAACATATTGTTGATTACAATACAAAACAACATCATTGGAATACAATGAAGTAAGTCAATAATGCACACAGATGATGCCAAAAAACATGCATCTTTCTGTGAACACTTGGTGGTTGACAGCAGGTTTTTAAACATCTGTCATTTTAATTCCACCCAGCACTGAATAAATGAGATATAGCCTCCATCTAGATTGCAATACTTACATCAGTTTTGACCTCTCCCCTCAACTTTTTTTTAGCTTCTGGGGTAAGTGATACTCTGTGTGGCTCCTGAATGGGACCAGTAGTAACACCAGCATCAATTATATCTTTTTTGTCCTTTGATGTGGACACACATCTTAATCCAGACACAAGGGCTTGTTTGTTGGGAATTTTAGACAGAAAACTTCGGGACATGCGCCAAAGAGGTGACATTATTCAAACACTAGTTTCTTTTCGATATGCAACGACGCTAACACTGTCCTGGTCCGGCCCCACGAACCACCGCCAGGCACTCCACTACACGGCACACCTGCCTGAAAACGCAGCAAAAGTCTTGAATACATATGAGACGCATCGCATTGAAGAAATGCTACGTATATGACGCAACCCAAATTGTCTGCTTAAATCTCAATCTAAAAAAGCTATGTGCATTAGATCAGATGACAAGTATTTTCGTAGGAACCCTCATACATTTACGTTTTTCATCCTTAAGTTCAAATTCAAGTTAATTGTGAGATCAGTGGTCGTAATGTTGTACAATGCTAGGAACGGGAGTGAGAAGTGTGCTACTGAACTTTATAGTGCATGCAGTGCTCCAAGTTTGATATTAAATTTTGCAGCATTGAAAGTGCAGATGGCTGCTTCCCTTTGTTCCGTATCTGTAGCCTCTGAATGTCTGTTTTATGCAAGCAATAATAATAGCAGTGGAATGCATGTTTTTCCCCTAGCTTACGCCTGAGTTACCCCTTTCAACACATAAAAACGATTTATTTAGTCTTAAATGAACTATGTTATCTAAAGTGACTTCTTACGTACATTCGTATTCAATAAAAAGTCATGGCTTACAAGAAGCTGCAATCAGCTGATAAGTAAGCTCAGATCAAGCTTCATCAGCTGAAGAATATTTTGCTTTCCTTCTGGCACGTTCCTTTTGGCGCGTGGGGCTAGCAGTGGTGTTTGTGCGGGATCGGGCTGCGGAGGATTGGGCTGTTATTATTTAGGCACATGAAAGTTTGAGGTGTTTTCTTGGTACCATTCGAAATAAAAATGGATCAACAGAATATCATTAATTTGTTGCGAAGTACCTTGGATCCTAATTTGCAGAAAGATGCATCTGCTCAGCTGGACCAGGTACGCCGCACATGCTCGTTTCTGCGCCGGTTACTGTCGCTGACAATGCCGTAAAGTTCGGGACGGTTTTATTTTTATCAATATGGTGATATATTACGTTTGAGTGCTAATTCGTGACTGCTTACATGTGTTTCACAGTATGAGCACGCATAATTTGCACTTATGTTGCCTTATTGCATACTGATACTACCCTGCAGGGAAAGTAAATGTTCCACAGTTGTGAGCATTTGCAGGACAGCAGATACAAGGTATTCATAAGGGCTGGAAGAATTATCATTGTGGCATTCTGTCATCCTAACTTCATATCATTATGCTCAAAATACAGCCTTTGCCAGTGCACTGCACCTTCTCTGGCCAGTCATGTTAATGTGCAGTATCAATTATGATTCACCACTGATAGTCAAGTTTGGGATTTCCTCACATGCAAACTGACTTGGAATCCATGGATACAACCAGGCCTTAAGTGTCACTATTGTCCTAGTTCAGTTTGGGTGCTATTCCAGTATGTTGTCTTTTTCCCTAGCATTATCCTGATGCCTGTTTGATGTTAAGACAAAATTGGTGTGCTCTTGAAAGGTTGCTAGGGATATATCCTCAGCAGCTATAGTATTGATTACACCCACTTTGGATATTAGCATGATATTTAGGGCAGTATTTATCATGTTCCTTGGGTTAATATCTTGCCCATTGGGTTAGATGATGTTAATTCAGCATAACCCTTAGGTATTCTTTTTAATGAAATTTTGATTATAGCTGCCAAGGTATAAGAAGATATGTCAAATAGTATGACCTATCCTACTTGGTGGATTAATCTCAATTAAAAACAAGTGATTTTATGTCTGGCAAGAATCTTGCAATCTTATCTCTTGTAGACTGTTATGCATGTCAGGGACTATTATGGTTAAGGTCAGGATATGGAGATGGTAATCATTGCCTTGCTCCACTATATGACCTGGCTGTCTGCACACAAACCCAGATCAAAGGGGAGGAATTTCCAAGATATTTTGTGCTATGTACAGATTCAGATTGTGATGAAACCAAAATAAAACAGTGCAACAAATTAAAATCTAAGTTGTCATTAAATAAAGCAAAGCAATACATTTAATGAATTATGGAAAATAAACTGAATTTAAGATAATAGTAAAGGATGATATGGATGAGCAACAACTGATGTATTCAGGAAATATACCCAAGTGCTACACAAGCTATAACATGTTTGTGGTGTGGTCATTAAGAAAGAGCAATGCAATGGGCAACCAGGGGCAGAGGCAGCCCCCATCATATGTGAAGCTAAGAATGTACTTCTTAAGCTGTAAGATACAAAAAAATTGGAAGGATGTTGTTCATGACAAAATCAATCTAAAAGGTGTTTGGCATGCTCCATTTCTCTTGAGCTTCTCCACATGCATATGTGAGGTTTGGAAGTACTCACACAAAGCTGATAGCTGAGTTTTGCAAGCATTTCACATGTTTGCATATCATCAGTAATGACTATGAAGCAAGGGTAATGAACATTTAGATCAATTGTGCAAAGAGCTTTAATGTACTGGATACTTTTTGCTTAAAATGGACATTCCTTACATATTGAAATGATGTATAATCAGAATATTTGCTTGTCCCAAGCTGACAATCACTTGCCTTGTGATACCATTACCATACCATTTAATGATAAATGTCATAGTTACTTTTATGTAGGGTTCTGTGACTGATGAATTTTGTCTATTGTTAGCCGCCTGTAGAAAGCTTATGTGGAAGATGAATATTGTTTGATATAAGAACATCAATATCCTGTGTTACATTACAAACATGTTGAATATTTTTATGGTTGATTATGTTTCAATTGCATGTGCTATTGGGCAAAAACAAAAAGCTTATATGGTAGGAATTTAGTGTTCACACATTCATCTAAGATTTGAGTGCAATCCATAGTGGTTGTCAGCAGCATCAGTATTCCTCATTGATTGTCACTTCAGATAAATGCTTTAGTCAGGCAGCTGACCAGTAATACAGTCCTTCCCACAACCCAAATAATTTTAGCCCATGCTACAGGCATGGTTGGAGGGCTCATGGTGCACCTACTTTTCAGCTGCAATTTATTTTGGAATGTTGCTTTATCACACCATCAAGATGTTTAAGTTTAAGTTCACCCAACTGTCAAAAAGTAAAACACAGTCTCTTCCTGTGGGTATGTCACCATTGTCATCCACTCCTGTGTAATGTGCAGCTGTCTCTTTTGCAGATGCACAAAATCATCGGTTTCGCCCCGAGCCTGCTACAGATTGTCATGAACAATCAGGTGGAGGTGCCAGTGCGCCAGTCTGGTGGCATCTACTTGAAGAACATGGTGGCGCACAGCTGGCGGGACCCCACATACAATCTTAAGCACACACCTGGCAAGGTGATGCCCTTCCACATCCACGAGCAGGACTGCGCCGTGCTGCGAGACACGATCGTGGACGCAGGCCGTGCACGTGCCCGACATTCTGCGGTGAGTGGGTGAGGACCGGACTGCCCCCCTGCTGGGTCACGTGGTGGGTGCCGGCGTGGGAGGCGCGGCTTAAACGGCGGGGGTGGTCGGACTGACG